GTTATGGAACTTGTTCTTTGAATTAAGCTTAGCTATAAGACTTTATCAATTGGGCTCCAAGATTTTCGCTCAAATTAGATGAGAAAAGTCTATGTCATCAAGAAGACCCTCGAAAAAATATTTCGAGGTGGGCGTTATCTAGTTGAAACATAACCATCGTATAATTTTAGCCTCAACCGCTATGACTTTTAACAACCGGGCTCCTATACATTGTCTAGAATTAAGTACGAAAGATCATGTCAGTTGATGATGAACTTTAGAAACAATTTGGGAGCGTCTATCTTTCAGAAAAAAATTTCAATTCGGCTTAAGCTTCAAGACACCCCTGAATCAAACATGAAAGTCATGAGAATAGAGGAGATGATCACCAACTTAAGCAGCTCTTGATTGTTAAACAAATTCTCCATGTCAGCCTCTTTGGAAATGTATGGAGAACTGCATGGAGAATATCCATACTGATGTTAGTGTGTAAAGGGTTAACCCTTCACACCCTAACCCTAATATTCAGATTCTCTATAATTTTCTTTTTATATTTCCTGTGGTACTGACTTACAAGGAGAATTGTTTGACAAGCGCAACCTTCTTAAAATAGTGGTCATTTCATATATTCTCATTACCTTACATTTGATTCAAGGGTGATACTGTAAAGAGGAATCAGAAGCCAATCGCTCTTAGGGGTGAGAGAGGTAAAAAATAGAAAACTCTTTTGACTTCACGTCTGTGTGGAGACAACTTTCTGTGTCTTCTGCCAGAAACATCTGACGACGAAACAGCCCATGACGCTTATCGACATCAGATTGTTGAGAAAAGAACTGTTGGTCTCTTAAAACACCTTTGAAATACATTGTGTAAACATTTTTGCTCAACTCTCTTCAAAATAATAACAATGATTGAAACTTTCACTTTCTATAGAATTAAAAACAAATTCCAAAAAAGCCTTCGTTAGGCTCCACTGTTTTTGTTTAATCAAGCAAAATTCCCTAATCAATAGAAAATATCATTATCATGTAAACGCTTCGTCCACAGAAACAAGGACTGTTTTCCAGCACTCAACCATTTATTTTCACATTTTCAACCACGAAGTAACATAAATCACATGACCTAGACGTCACTAAAGCAATGGCACACAATGCGTACAAACAAGATAAAAAAAAAGACTTAACAAAAATGACAATGTTCAGTCGCGACAATCATATATTAGATCTTACCAGAGAACTTGATAAAATAGGACACATTGAATTTGGCCTCACCCTCCAAGCTAAAACACTTGACGATATCGATAGGCTCCAAGTTTGTAACTGAGTCGAGTAAAATGTTTCCTAATTTCTTGAAAATTATCAGGTCATTTAGACCATAGGAGATCAAAAGAAAAATGGCTCTCGAGAGAAGGATAAAAAAAAATAACGAATAAAACAATTGGAAAACTGTGTTTGAAGCTTGGTCTTTTCCTCAAATGACGAGAAATTCAACAGTCAAGCTCCAAATCCTTTGTTAACTGAATTAAACGAAATTATTTTTTTGCATGAAATAACACTACTACTACTACTACTACTACTACTACTAATAATAATAATAATAGTGGCTGATCAAAGTTTTCTTTTTCTAGAGAATTGAAAACAAATTCCGCTCTTAGGATTTGGGTATAACACACAAGGCTATTGCAAATTAGGCTCCATTTCATGTTCATGTAGTATCTATCAACCGAGGAAATCTTTGACAAATGAGTATGGTGACTAAAAGCTTATTCTTAAATTGAAAGAGCATTGGACCGGCCAAACTGTTGCTATGGTAACTTTAACAATCAGATGAATGGTCATAACATGCACGAAGAGCACTGAGTATTCCTTAAACATTAGTGTTTTGATGTCGAAGAGACAAAATTGTTTTCTGATTCATCGAAACAACCTTGCTGTAAGTTACTAAAAACCAACTTAAAAATGAAAGAGAGGTCTACGACATCAGACATGGAGGAAATCAGATTTCACCTTCAGATCTAATTTCCTTCTGTTTTAAATCTGGTTAATTTTAATTGCAGACGTTCGGTTAGTCCAGGTTTAAACGTCTGATGCAAACTCAACTTACATTTTAACATCGTTAATTCGAATGAGAACAACAAAAAGTGTTATTTACTAAATTCAAATTATTTAGTAAATATATACTCGATGACATAAACAGGGGATTACCGGGCTCACTCTGTTAAATAGCACTTATGAAAAGACAATAAAAATTAATTGGCTAACCTTGTTGAAAGTTATCCTGCAACTTTCCTGCCTTGAGGTTCTCGAATCTAAACGCTTCTTATTCTGTTTGACACATTCCTCTGCACTTCTCGATTTTCGTCCTCACCGCTGTCCTAGAAAGAAAAACAAAGACATCTAAGATCAGAGCTAGAGATCAGAGCTAGTCCCCGTTGTGATAACTAGTGTAGAAGAGAGAATAAAGAAATAGTCAACAAAACGAGAGTTTGAGTAATTTTTACTCTTGACACTAAGGATGGAAAGAGGGCTTCTGGTCTCCAGAAAAAAGGTTCTACTCTCTATGGCGGGAGGCTAGGTGTTAGCGAAATGACAAGCACGATTAAATCGCACCACCTTATATATATAGATAGATATGGATATATATAGATATATGCTATATAAAGAACCATGCCATATGGTTCTTTTATCAGAGAGCCATATACACGTAGATAAAGAATTATGGGATTATGTGTAAATCCTGACATATGAAACGATTTACATTATGAAAAAGTAAAATAATGGAATTAAATACATAAGCAAATAAGCGATCAACACATCGGCAATGAATTAAGAATTTCTAGCTTGTGCTCTAAAAGTCACGTGATTCAATATATCATGGCGGCTGCTGTTTAAGATGTGTCTTATTATCTATGGTGCAAAACATGTTCTTTTCTTAACATCTAACTCCGTCATTTCATTTTTAAGAGCAACAAATAAATGAAGGAAACTGTAATTCTTTCAATAATGGAGTTCATAAGAAGGTAACCTACCTCGAGTACATTGTTTACGAATTGACATCAATTGATCCTCGAGATTGAATTAAACCACACTATCCCGTCAATAAACTCGAGGAAACACATGTCGGCCTTGACTGAACTGACGATATTCAAGATAATCCAGTTAAACTGAAATATTTCTTGGCCCAAAATAGCTGCAAAAGACCGTGATTTTTCTTGTAGTTCGTAAGCTCTTTCTACGTGCAAAACTGGTCGCAAATGTGAATATTAATTTAAGTTATTCAAATTATTTTCCCCACTTTGAATGGCGGGCCGACAAGGGCGGCACCCTTCCTTCTCTTCCTTCGTCTCCCGGGCCTTTCCTGTTTGTGGGGGGATTCTTCGAAGATGGTTATAAAAAGAACAAGACAAAACAAAAGAAAAATAGCAAACATAAAAGAAAAAAAAAAGAAAAAAAAGAAAAAAAAGAACTAAACAAAAAACTTATACACCATGAAATGAAACTTGGTTTAATAAAACAAAACAATGTGATCTTTATTTTTGGCAATTGAGGTTACCACTTAAGTCTCTCAAAAACACCCTTAGTCTCTGATTTGTGTTCCTGTAACTTAAATCTTCCGCCTCTTATTACTGAATTGCAATTAATATCTCAAGATGTATCTTTCGGCAAAGCTTGAAGTTTTGAACAATGCTACACTTACAGCTCAGAGTCATCTTAGTTTTGTTAATGTAAGGTTACCTTGGGCTGAGCCTTAAATACGGAATTTTTCTTTATCAAAACTTTGCAGAAAGACGATCATGGATATGATGATTGTATTTCAACAAGGTGAAAATATAAATTTTGTACTGTTTGGCCCACCCAGCGGGAGCTTATCCCGGTTTCCAAGAAGCATGAAGGGACTAGGAGTATTACTACTCCCCACTAGAAAGGATGCTAATCCATCGCAAGTTTACGAGTTGAATGTATCGTGCATTTGTCTTCAAGATACTCAGCGTCTCTGTAAACCTTTTGAAAAGAGTTATCGATGCCAACAACAACGATAAAGAATAAGGCGAGAACCAGCCGCATTTTAACGACTGAAAGGTTTGATACACTCAGCAATCGCTATGATTGTCGAAAGGTTCATTTTAATATAATTCTGGCGCTCATAATGTATACATGGTAATGTAATGAAACGCTTCAACGCTTTCCTAGTTATCGCCAGCGTTAAGCATGATAGTCTTATACAGTTGTGTGCTTGGGTGCCAAGCCTTTGAGCAGGAGTAAGGCTAAGGTTGACCTTGTTATGATACTAATCTTGTTGCTTTTAAAATGTAAATTACTTTGTTATCATGCTAACTAGATACTGGTCTATATCACAACATGGTCACCTTAAGCCTCACTCTAAATCAAAAGCTTGGCAACTAAGTACACAACCGTAAAATGGCCTAATATCTTCTATATTTTTTTTATTTTAGGATTTGGGGTCATTTTCCGCCGTTCCATCTTTTAAGATTCCACCATTCCACCATTCCACCATTCCACCATTCCACCATTCCACCATTCCACCATTCCACCATTCCACCATTCCACCATTCTACCATTCCACCATTCCACCATTCCACCATTCCACCATTCCACCATTCCACCATTCCACCATTCTACCATTCCACCGTTCCAGCTTTTAGGGTCGCCCTTACTCGAAGACATGTCTCAACAAGTTTCCACCAAGAATGTTCCGATCGGTTCTGTCAGTCAGCAAAACACTCCCTGGGGGCCTTCAAAGTTTAATTTGTAAATTTGTAATCAAAGTGCTGAATTCGAGAAAAGTGAAGTTGATGGGAACACAAAAAGATTAATGAAGCGTTCAAAAGTGACAGACAAAATACACTCTGAATGTGTCGGTTGTTTTATTCTCTAAATAACTAGAGGGCATACAAATCAGAAATTCTGCGCCAGTTGCTTTTAAAGTTCATCTCCTGAAATAGAATCTGAATTTTGAATAAGTCATTGTTTTCAAATGCGTAAAAGCGAGTAAGACTTTGTCTGCTCTGGGTTTGTGCATGAAATGTCGGAAATCTAAATTAATTCAGTTTTTTATCCATCGCCATTATCATTTATTTGTCTTGTCAACAATGCAAATAAACATTTTCTACGACACTAAAACTTACAGAAGGCGAGAAGACCAAGGAAGCCACTGAGCTTATGGGAGTCGCCTGATTTACAAATTGTATTTAAAAAAAGAAAAAAGTGCTGCGGAAAAGTGCTTGGTCAACTCAGTAATTTTTTTAGTAAAAGCTCTTGTAAATTCGTCTTAAAGCTAAGAAGATTTGACAAACGAGTGACTAAAACAGGAAGAGACTTAAAACATATGGCAGAGAATTCTAAATTGCTTGTGTACGACACAAATACGATCAATAGTGAGAGTCTTTTCTGGTACCATAGCAGTGAATTTGGTTACTTGTTACAAAAAATTCGAGATTACATTAGCGATGTTTTACATCATTCCATGTATTGTTTTTATATATCTTGGTAAAAGCCTGTGGATATTTACACATCACATCGCCATGGGCAATTTTAAGAGTGAGCGTCTAAAAAATTGAAGACTAATGTTTTTCCTTTAAATGTTTCCACATCGTGATCAGTTCGTTGACGACTTCAACAGACAGCCAATTGTCATCTTCTTCAAAGAAGTGTTCTTCTGTCATCTTCAGGACAGACTCCTTAAGTGCTTCCTCTGTCAGCTTTGCGACGGGATGAGCGCGCGTATTTCTGACTCTTTTTAGTGATCTCACGGCATCGAAGTGGCAGTACTTCCAATTCAGCTCATCTTGTAGCAAGGCCCACTTACGTTTTTCTCCGTCTCCCGATGTTCTTAACATGTCTTCGATGTCTTTCACCTTTCGTTGTATTTTTGAGTTAAATCTTTGTGGAAATATTCTTTTGAACATCATGTTTTGTATCTCGTCACACATTGTTGCCAGGAGCAGGGACACTTGCACTTCCTCTAAAGCGTCAACTCTTTTCTTGACCAAATCCAACTCACTGCTCTGGAGATTCACTTGTTCTTTCAATAACCGTTTTTCTGTTTCCAGTTCTTCAATTTTCCTCTCTAAAGCCTTAATTTTAACATGATTGCGTTCTTCATTTTCTCTCAGCTTGTCAATTTCATCCTTCAGCGCCTTTATTTCTCTCTCTCGGCTTTGAAGTCTCACTAAAAAAGCACTGTCTCCTGCTGATCGATCACTTGAAAAACTGGCCTGAGTGGGTCCCCATTGTTGACTGTTACTTGAAGAAGTGCTTGTCGACATTTTACTAATCCCGAGAAACGAAAAGCTGAAGATGCGAAATGATTTTTCTAAAAGGAAACATCTCAATAATTATAAATGCAAAATGTCAAATCATTGCCCCCTCTTCATGATTGGCTCCTTTCAGTTCCGGTTCTTGAAAACGTTCGTGCAATTGCGTAATTGCGGGAACGAATATTTCCATACTAACATCGTCGATAAATAATTTATTTTCTTTGATACCAATCACTTTACCAACGTTGCCACAGCTGGAGGTTGCTTTAAACCTAGAAATCTCTTGCAAGTTTATCAGATCAAACTGCAAGGTCAGCATGTTTCAATAGGGACCTTTAGCAGTTAGGACGGCAACGCCGAGGAAGACGACGATTTAATAATGAATATGTACGTGTAGTTGGAATCTCACGAATGACTGAATGTGTTAACCTCAGCATAATGTATGAGAGCGGCGTAGAATAGAAACTTAATTTGCCGTCGGGGTTTCCTTTCTTAAACCACCAAAATTTTGATGATTTCACGTTGATATTAAGGACCTTAAGCAAACCACGACGGCGACGGTAACGAGGACATGGAAAAACAAAATATCTAATTGGCAGAACAACAGCTCAGCACGTGCGTTTCAAAACTTTGTACATTTTTTAGCCGTCCTATGCAAAACAACAACTTCGTCACTCTGAACTGGGGATGTTGAAGGCTTTTCAGATTGTTCACTATTTTATTCCAAATTTGGCCACTTGCAATGCTTCCTTGGCTTTGCCTTGAATGGTTCAAGAACGAGAATCCCCTGACAAAGAATATTGTAATGTTGTTCAGCCCACTCCATGTTGGTTCTAAAGATAAAAATAAAATGTTAATGCTAATTTTCTTTTTGTTTGTGTTGCATGTTGTTTGTCTTTTTTAATGAGTTGTGATGTTGCTTGCTCGCAGTAGATGTTGGTCTTAACCCTTTAGCCCGTAAGAGTGAGTAGCATCTAATTTCTCCCTAATATAACACCCCTGAATCAAACATGAAAGACATGAGATGATCACCAACTTAAGCAGCTCTTGATTGTTAAACAAATTCTCCTTGTCAGCCTCTTTGGAAATGTATGGGGAACAGTATGGAGAATATCCATACTGATGTTAGGGCGTAAAGGGTTAACCCTTCACACCCTAACCCTAATATTCAGATTCTCTACAATTTTCTTTTTATATTTCCTGTGGCTCTGGATTACAAGGAGAATTTTTTGACAAGCGCAACCTTCTTAAAAATAGTGGTTATTTCCTTTATTCTCACTACCTTACATTTGATTCAAGGGTGACACTGTAAAGAGGAATCAGAAGCCAAGCGCTTAGGGGTGAGAGAGTTAAAAAATAGAAAACTTTTTCGACTTCACGTCTGTATGGAGATAACTTTCTACGTCTTCTGCGAGAAACATCTGACGACGAAACAGCCCATGACGCTTATCGACATCAGATTGTTGAGAAAAGAGCTGTTGGTCTCTTAAAACACCTTTGAAATGCATTCTGTGTAAATATTTTTGCTCAACTTAATCTAGTGGTGGTCTGCGTGGTAACAAAATTTGATTCAAAAAGAAAAAGAGGGTTTATCTCAGACGTGTGTAACTCCATAACGTCAGTATGCATGTTCTCCATACTACTCCCTAGACATTTCCTAGGGTTCTCACAAGGAGAATTTGTCCAACAGTCAAGAGCTTCTTTAGTTGGTGATCATCTCCTTTATTCTTATTACCTTAATGAGTGATTTAGGGGCGACATTGTAAGGAGAAGTTAAATGTTAGTCACTCTTAGGAGTTTAAGGATTAAGGCCTTGTCCATGACCCAACCTGTTCATTTTGCTTTCCTGGTCAGAACAAAAAAAGTTTCACTGATTTGATCTGCCAACATCCTTAAGTCTGCAAAGGCACTGTGTGTAAGGTACAAAAGAAAAATTTCAACTGTAAGTAAGAATCTAAAACCCTAAAATTACATCATTGGTGACACGTACCCATCTAGGCCATGGAAGGGAGTGTCTCTCAGTAACAACCTTCCCTTCCCCCCCACTTCTCCTGCCACCACCTTGTAAATGCACATTTAATTTTTTTTAACTTCTGATTGCCTTTCTCACTATTAGGTACTTAGTAACTGGCTTAATTCTAGCTAATTGTTGGGAGAAAGAAAAACATCATTTTCATAATGTATGGGAACTAGCTGTAATCTTGCATAAATTAGCAATGTACAAAGATCTCAGGTCTTAGCAATTACTTCTACATGTATATAATCTTTTTTGCCATCAACTTAATAATTCTATCGTCAAATCAAGTCAAGCATAGACAGTGGCCAAGCCATGTTTTAAATAGGGCAGTTTATTGTTATATGTAAACATAACCACAACGCTAAGATACTGAATACCACTATGGTAACTTAGGTATCTATGGTACTCCTCATCTGGTTAAAAGTAAAATAAGAATTTCAAGATTTCATCATTACATTATATCACTCCATCTAAGGGCATTGCTTACAATATACTTGAAGATATTTTAAAATTCGGTGCAATGCAATTGAAATTTGTAACTATTATTGTGCAAAAGTGTGACCAAATATACTTAAAGTATTTCAAACAAAACCAGGAAATCAAAGGCAAATTCAGTCTGAAGTAGACAATAACACCACACCAAGCAAAAGTAAAAGTGTACATAATTTCCATAAAGCCTTTTAAAAAAATATTTGATCAATTGACCAGATCAATCTGAAATTTAACCCCCTGTCATAATCACCACCTGTATAGTGAAGTTCCTGAACAATCAAAGACATGAAAATCTCTATAACCTCCTGAGCAGTTATGCTAATACTTCTTATTCTGTAAAATGTACTTGGATGACCAACATGTTAATTCTCCTTTAAATTTCTAAAACTCTATTAAGCAGAAAAATTATTTCGAGAAGATTCCCCACTTAAGTAGGCAAAGTTTAACCATTTGATCCCTAGAAGTGACTAACGTCCAATTTCTCCTAATAGTATCCCCCCAGAATCACACATTAAGGAAACAAAAATAAACAAAATGATCACCAATTAAACAAGCTCTTGATTGTTAAACACATTTTCCTTGTCAGCACTTGAGAAATGTATAGAGAACAGTATGGAGAATATGCATACTGATGTTAGGGTGTTGAGTGTTAAACTGAGTTTAAGATTGTTTCCAGATTGTTTCAAAATTGTTCATCTCTAAACAAGAGTTGGTATCTTTCATGTTTATCTTCTCCATGATTAAGCTGACTGATCATCTAAACAAGTTCTGCTCAATACAGTAATTTAAATAAACTTCCTGTTTTCCTTCACAACAACTTTGCCTCAACTAATATGATACTCTCCTTTTGCCACGTTTTTATTCACTGGTTTTGCCTTGAATGCAACATGATACAGAAACACAGAGAACAACTTGACTTAAAGGTTGGACACTTTCTCATTACATCTTGCATCAAGGACAGTGTAAGTCATTAACTCTCTTTACCTTTTACCTTTACCATACACAATTAAATTCCTTTCATCTGACCAGGATGCTCTAAATGTCTATTGGCACCAAATTTGAATATTCCATCAGTCGTCACCAGCTTCATTGGATTACACAAAATGAGAAAGATCCATATGAATCATATAAGACCTCTTGACAATTTCCGTTTTTGAGTTGATTTCTTGTGATGTGACTTCTGGGAAGTCCTAAGCTCTGAGTCTTCAGATCCCATAACCAGCAGTTGTTGACCTAATGACAACAAGATGAGAGAGGTAAATAAATGAATAAGTAACACCCTATTACCAGTAAATCAGATTATTGTGGAAATAATGAGGTAAGAAAAAATCCAAGCTTGAAGGGAATTCAACTCCATAGCCGGCTAAGAATTACATAATCAACCCCAAAATGAATCCATTGTCAGACTCTTCTTAATTACCTTTCACTTTGCTCTTGAACCACACTATTAGGACTTGACTGTAAAGTTTATCTCCTCTAAGTTGAATTAGTTTCAAGAAAGGGAAGAAGGCCAATGATTAAAAGCTTCTAAAAATATATCCATTCCAGCACTCCTTTTATGGGTGTTTTTCACTCCCCATCTGTGGGCTGTCTTCAACTGGCATTATAGAGTTCTTTTGAAGTGAGAGCTTAGCCCTTGGAATTCTTTCTGCTGCCTAGCACCAAAACAGAGCACATTTAGTTAGTTACTACTAATATGGATAAATGAATATGGGAATTTTCCCCTTCTTTCCTCATCCTGGTTTTCAGACCACAAAAGAGGATGATGGCAACAACCAAATATACATGTACAACCACTGCGTACATGAAGGTATTATTACAAGACAAAGAGCTATTTCTCTGAAAGTTTAATTTTACAAATTAAAGTAGGAGTGCTTTGGTTAGTGCATGAAGGATTCATGTGACAGTTGAAGATTAAAAATTGTGAGTAATTCTAGTGTTCCTCAATTCACTAACATATAATAGCTTCAGTATGCATCAACAGATGATCATGATTTTATTTCCATATTTATTAGTGTATCTCTTTCTTTTGAAATTTATGTAGGGATTTATTCTTTGTTCCAGGCTGTGTAATTGTCGACAAAGAAACTGTAACTGCTATGTCAACTCAGTAGACTGGGTTCTAATGTAGCACAGCGGGAGATGGGAAAACAGACTAAGGACTGCTTCCCGGCGATAGCTGTGCTTGCAGCAATAAGGAGAAACAAACAAAATAAAAGAAAAGCAATGATGTTTTGAAAATTGCATCTGAAGGTGATAGCAATTTATTCTTTAACAATGATTTTTAGCTTGTGAAATAGTAAAAAAGCTCTCAAAAAAACAAGGAGGAAATTGCTTTTAAAACCAATGAAAAAACCAGTCAAGAATACATGAAAGTCTTTGGTTCCATGTTTCTGATTTTGTTGCCCAAGGTTGTCAGTTTACACTTTCAGTTTATTATTTTACTGTAAATCTATTATAATATTATTCAATATAAAATAGTACTATAAGTAGCCAAGGGTCATAAAAAGCTACATGTACAAGGCTTCTTGATTTCAAAGCATAATACATAAGGATCAAAGGCAGATATATAATAAACAAGAAAACTAAATTATCAATTATTAATTTTTAATTTTGTACCATAGAGTAAAACAAAGAACATATGTTGACATCAACCAGTGAAGGAGATATTTCAAAAATTTGTTTTAACAAATCAAAGTATATTCTAAGCACACTTTACAGATTAATTTTCTTCCTTACCTTAGTGTGCTGACCTCCTGCCTAAATGTTACACACCCTCAGGGCAACTCTGGCTTTTTATATCAACTTGAACTTAAAAGTTATTCCTCTCACTCATCAGACACAAAAGTCAATGCTGTCAAGGACCTGTGATAAGTCAGCCAAAAGTTAAGATAAGTGTGTTTGTTTGTTTCAATTTCATGTAAGTACATAAGTCCAGCATTGATACCTGATGTTCCCTTATTAAGAGGAATTGCTTTCAAAAGATGAAGAGGTTACCATGATGCCTGTTGAGCACAAAAAATTATTTCAACCATAAACAAATCATTTGATTATGAGCAAGCGTTTAAGTTACAAAGTACATGTAGTTAAAGTTCCAGTTTTTAACTGGTTTTGCTCCACGACAGTGTTAAATTGGTCTGGAACTGGCGCCCCACAAATCACACAGCTAAACAGAAGCAAAACTAAACCCAGTTGTAACCTGGTCACTTGCATTTTCCCATGCTCTAGGAAGTTTCTGTGGTTTACTCTGAGCTCTTATTAGCCCCTTGAGATTTTATCCATTCTTCTCCTTTGCAGTTGTGATTTAATTAGTTTTTGTTTTCAACACTCAATCAAAATGTCACCTAACTTCATATGTCATAGATTGGTCACCTGGTCTGAAATGGGTAAACAACATTTGCTACCATAAAAACTTTAGGAATAACTTGGTGTAGATGGAAATCTAGCCATAGTTGCAGACAAATAAATAAAGGGAAATAAACAAAAAAAAATAGTTACTTGAAATATGAAACTGAATGTGAATGTGAAATGGGTAAACGACATTTGCTACCATAAAAACTTTAGCAATAACTTGGTGTAGATGGAAATCTAGCCATAGTTGCAGACAAATAAATAAAGGGAAATAACCAAAAAAAAAAGTTACTTGAATTATGAAACTGAATGTGCCAAGTGTACTTATCCGTGTAGGAAGTGCAAACCCTACACTGACATAGAAGATTGGGTTTTACTGTAGCACAGCGGGAGATGGGATGGGCGGACTAAGAACCGCCTCCCGGCGATAGCTGTGCATGTGATCATCCATGTGTCAACACATTGATGTGTAACTCTTAAAATTAATTATTGCTTATTAGAAAAAAGGAAGTTAAGTAAGCATAACTGATATGTAAGACATCAGTGGCTATACAAAAGAGAAGCCTCTGGACTATATGGATGGTGCTGCACCATGCTAGTCTCAGCCACACAATAGATGTTGACAATCTAACCTGTTGCTGGGTCAACTCATTCAGAAGTAAAGGGATAAGTTTCTAAGGAAACTGTGGTGCTTCATTGGTGAGTATATCAAGGTAATTTAGTATTATCAACTGAGTTGACAAGGTAAATTGGCCATGGTAAAGAGTATCAAAGCTGAAGTTTTGAGCATTAGCCCCTCATCAGAGCGAATGATGAAGGGCTAACACTTGAAACCTCAGCTTTGAATTTTACTTTACTGTGGCCAATCTATGTTATCAACTTAGTTAATAATACTTACTTACCCTCAAATAGAAGTACTTTATCTCCACAACACCAATATAAAATGATGATGGAGTTGCTTGCTTTATCTTCATTTCTTGTTTCCAATCTTTGAAAAAAGTGCACAGGCAAGGACATATTAGCTAGGGTCTATTTTTGCAACACAAGCAAATGCTAAGAGGAAACCATAGAGACCAACCTAGCCTTCCCCAGTCAAAATTCACATTTGATTAGTATACAGTTTTTTTCAAAGAACCCTTTCCTGACAACAGGTCGTCAAAATCGAATGGTACCATCCAAAGACTGACAGATGAGGTCACAAACAGGCACTATCATCTTAATTGCATTGTAAAACAATCATAGGTGTCCAAAATTGGACCATAAAGCCATCCCCAAAGAGAAATTGCTCAAAATCAAACCCTATGATCCAAAAACAGTCAAAAGTTTCTAAATTGCATGGACTGTCCAATAATAGACAAAATTGTTCAAAATTGTACAGTACCATTCCATGCAAGTATTCAAAATAGGACAGTACCAGCTGATAACAGACAAGCATCCAAAGTAAGGCAGATTGGTACAAGTGTCTGACTCTTCTGTCCGAAAAGGAAATGATGGAATGAGAAAAGCTAAGACAAGACTAACGTGATGAAAGTGTGCCAAAAGAAGAAAAAAAGGAAAGGACCTCATTACCCCTCTCCCTCTCCTCGCTACTGTGTTTTCTATTTTCGCCTTCGCTGTATTCCATCGCGCCGCTTGTGTTACTCCTGCTTAAATGAAAAGAAAGAGATTTAAACGCCGGACAACAGATGGAGTTTTCAACATGTTTACAAGACAATCTGCGATCATCTGATTCATCTGATATTTTCCTTCTTCCAAGCAATAACAGCGAAGTTAAAACACTTTCTTAGCGTAATGTCGAGCTTGGGTTAACTGTAGTGTTTTCTGTCTCAAAGTTAAATCACAATAAGTCGCAAATGTGAACATAGGCTAAAGCGTTGTGATTCGGCTTACTAGTCCGTATAGTGCCATTAGGGATTCAAGTTGATGTTGCGGCCGAATTGCATCTTAAACGCTGTTAAGGAATTGAGAGTGAGAGACTTGAAGTGGAGGGGACTTTCTAATAGCCCTTATGGAGGAATATTGAAACTGTCTATCTTGGAATTGAGAACCGTCCACAAGAATCAAATCTTGGCTAACACGTGGTTTGTCGCGGATCGATTATATAGCGATTGAATCAATAATTTTCCAACCAAACCCGATTTTCAGCGAATTCACACAATAATAAGCTGTTAAGGAATTGAGAGTGAGAGACTTGAAGTGGAGGGGACTTTCTAATAGCCCTTATGGAGGAATATTGAAACTGTCTATCTTGGAATTGAGAACCGTCCACAAGAATCAAATCTTGGCTAACACGTGGTTTGTCGCGGATCGATTATATAGCGATAGAATCAATAATTTTCCAACCAAACCCGATTTTCTACGAATTCACACAATAATAAGATGAAATATGGACTTACCATACAGTTAGAGCGGAAGGAATCAGCCTCATCCGAGAAGAATAGTCAGAACGTATTTTAGTAGTCGAAGTGCGAAGATCACACGAAAGACACCCAAGTGTGACAACCTATGAATATTTAATGAATGGCTCTTTCATAGTCAGCTAGGTGTTGACAGATTATGTAAATATTCTACCAAATACCCTCAGGAAATTTTTAGAAGTAGAACTGACAAAATCGGATGTGCGGAATAAGGCAATGTACACTCCTTTGTATAGCGAGTTCGCCTTTGCAGCTGGCGGTTTCCCTAATATTTTTGAGCGACGGACCACAAAAATGAGCTTTGTTCATATCTTTCGCAATTCAGCCCCTTCCACTTCCACTGAGTCCTCAAAACAGTACCAGTTTCGCAGGCTAGGGTGAGTTTTGCGATCTTGAAGGGAAAGATCGCAATATTTGGCGTGGAGAGAGAGGCATGATGCATCTGATCGATTTAAAGTGGTATTGAAAGGCATACACCTTGTGTCAGACAAAAATTAGTATTTTTTTTTATCTCTTCCTGCTTTCCGACCTTAAAAAAAGAACACCCAAAAAGTCGGGTCCACTAAAACGTGCCCAATTCCAGATCCCGACTCGATAGAGTGTCCAAGATCCCTACCCGATTTCAAACCTCAATAGTTGAATCTATACCAAATTTTGAGCCAAAAGAGACAAAAGTAGCCTTTATCCTAACCTTCACCCTATAAAACTTTAATGGGGAACGCTGTATCAGCGCTTTTCAGTGGAAAACTTTCATGCAACTGGCGCTATATCATTTCGATTCTCCTTATACATTTAAAACTCACTGGCAAAACGTTCCCTATCCTATGTTTCGACCCATTTAGCTATAGTTGTCAAACTTTTAGAATCCGTAGACCACGTCTTAAAAGTTTGTGAGTATATCTACGAAGCTCTGTACACCTGAAAAAGTAAACAAATGGACTTATACTACTGTGCAATCCAAAAATTGTCCCAGACCACGCGCGAAGCATCCTTGACTCTGCAGAGTGAGGTGGTATGATTCTTGCTGCCACAGCTGGCATGAAACAAAGTACAAGAGTAACGAAAATAAAAAGCATCGTTTTTGCACCTCTAAATCGATATCGCTGCTGATTGATGGCTGCGAACTGACGCATCATTTGTTCTTGTGCACGAACTACACGGCGCTGTCTTAGGGAGGCGTGATGAATTGTTAAATTGAAATAAAATGTTACAACTAGAGCTGTAATAAGAGTTACCGTCATCACAGAATTAGAAATGTTGTTTATGGCCGCATTGTCAAACAGACATGGGACGCTGATAAAAAGACTCGCAAACCAAATTGAAAAGATAAAATTTACCATTCTTCGCCTGGACAATATCGCATGATAACGGAGGGAATGAATGATACCAACGTAGCGTTCAAGCGTCACAAGTGCCAGATTAAGCACTGCGCTGTACACGAAGATGTTCGTAAGAAACTGGACGATTTTAAGTTCAAGAGTTGGTAGAGGACAGCCGTCCTCAAGAACAAGAAAACTACCCTGGGCGCACAAACAGTGAATGAGTACACCCTCGAAAAAGTTTGCCGCCGCTAGGCTTGCTAAGCCAATATTGGAAGAAATGAGGAGCTCGGAAAAGCTTACCACCGTCAAAAACACCAGTGCATTTCCACAGCTTGATAAAATAGCCAACATGATATTAACAACGCTAAAAATCACCACCATTGACAGGCTGTATGATTTCATGATAAAAAGATCTTGAATCATAAGCTCTTTATGTGAGGAGTTGCCACAAACGCCACTGGAATTCGCAATTTGAAAATCTGTTAACCTTGAAAAGAGCATCTCAGCAGAAGCGTTCTCTTCGAATAATCAGCAAAACATGCGACTGATGAGCGGGGAACTCTACTGGAAAAACTGGCTGCGTTTTTTGCATACGAATAAGATTTCTTTTTGCTTCTTTTTCCGGAGAGAGTTGTCGGTAATTTTCCAGGGTATTGTTTTCGGTTTTCCTGAATTCTGCCATTTCACACAAGCGTAGTGGATCACAGGACAAAGCCATTTGGCCGGTTAAGAAAGGAAAAAACGTGTGTGAGTAGTGTGAAAATTAGGAAGTATGTTTGTTCATTGTTAGTCATACGAAGAACACACAATACTTTCATATCCGTTTGCAAATTGAGTTCTCATCCCTCCTGGAAACAAACACTTTTCTTTTTACTGCTAGTTTATTTACGTTTCACCGTGTGGGCGACGTTGCGCAATAGAGAGAAAGAACTAGCAACGGATATTACTAAAAGCGATGATGGGAAATGTGGAGAACGAAGAATAGGAATGGGAAATGAGGAATGGGGAATGGAAAAGGTGAATGGAGAATTGATAATGAAGATTGAATTCCTGTAGAAATAAGGTCTAAGGAGAGGCAAGTGCCAGAGAATCAATCGACGCCTGCGTAACATTTCAACAACAATTTATGCCAACCTTCACTTTAATTACTTATGCATTCCTCATCCTCGTCTTAATGCACAGTTCACAATAGGCATCACATTAATTACAATAATTTAAATTAAACTTAATTTGTCTAAAGTACCCAAGGGGTACTTGACTCTGATGATGACTTGACTCTGACGATGACTTCCGCTCCGGTTGTCGAAACGTCAGTCACCACTACCGACAACAGTCCTTCTCAGGACTACACTCACACGGACGATCAAACTGCACTATTACATGTTACCCCCGGATTCAAACCATTTACTGTATTACAAATCAAAGCATCGGCCTGCCCAGTTTCAATCCGAGGTATCGGCGGCCCGCTCAAAGACACGCAGATGAAATCGTTCTTTTTCTTCTTTGCCTCTTTTATCATCTCAGGCGAGATGTCCGAAGCACATAAGTTGGCTTATTCTAGTTTTTTGAGCTCAACTTCAAATCGCCCTGTTTCAGTTCCAGCGTCAATGATTTTGATCTAATTCTTTGGTCTGTCCTGGAGAACTTTCTGGAGGCCTTTATGAAAATATTCGATGAGCAGCCTGTGATAAGCAGCGCGAGCTACCAATATTTCTTACATGATGCGAAAGTTCAAGCTCATTATGAAGCTTAGTCGTTCTATAGCGACACAAGTCCCGTATCGCCCATGCCCGACTATCTACCGCTATATCCATCATTCTATCAAATTACGGCGAATATACTTTTTAAAGTCTACACTATTGAAATGGATTCAAAGTGATAGAGTAGCTAATATATTTAGATTTAGCTGAGCCTAAAAGCGGAGCTCTTGTTGTTTTCCAGCTCTTCACTATACTAAAAACTGTAATAAAACTCTTCAGCACCGGCTGTCGAAGAGTTTCTTCAAGGGGATTTAAGGACCAGTTAGAGGGGTGGTGGGGGAGAAATGACGGGGTCTGCAAGGCCGAGGGACGATATTCTCACAACTTGCAAAGCGAGCAACACGCATGCTAGCCAGCGGTGTTTTCAAGCAGCTGAGGACCTCTGAGATTTCATAGAATTATTCTAATTACATGAATATTAACTGATATTAGGGGATCTCAGAATATTCAAAAGAAAAGAAAATTTGGTTGAAAAATTAGAATTCAACATAGTCGGGTAAACAAGGTTCCTAGAAAAAGAAATTTGTACTAATGAAAAAAACCTAAACTAAGCAACTTTTCACAACACCTGTCGGTACCTGTGCGGTATAAACTTATTCGAAGTAATCATACTCCCGGTTTTAATGTTGAAAACACACTCTTACAGATTTCCTATTATTTTTCAAGCGATCGTTGAAGGGAGATTAGAATTAAGCCTTTAAATCCCGAGAGTGACCAGAGAAGAATTTCTCCCTACAAGAATAATACAATATGAATCAGGCAAGTGATGAGAATAAAGAAAAATATCAATTAAGGGACTAAATGTTGATCCAATACCAATTTCTCCAAAGCAACTTCATAAGTATTATAAAGTGGACGGTGAGGAGAATTTCTAATGAGATCATATGAGTGAAAGGGTTAAAAGGCAATTATTTAAAAAAGTGTTTCAGAGCACAGTGAGTTTTTAATGTCATTGGCTACTTGCTGGTGACATTTTATTATGTTTCGTTCTCTATTGCTATTTTTACCTGCATTAGCAAAGCTATGAAACCGGAACCACCTGCGCTCATTAGGATGACAACCAAATTTCCCAATTAATTTCCCGCCGTTTGATTACACTCGGCTGATCTTTTAATCTGCTTTATTTTTTTACGTGAAGGGAAATTAAAGACTTCTCAGTCTGTTAAAAAACTCTTTTGACCATTCTCGCACCGAATAGATGTTCTCTGAGGATAATCGGTTGCTGCACAATAAACAGCGAACTTTAATAATCTTTGCAGCAATATGGAAAAATAGAAAATATTAATCGCGACAAGGAAATTTCCTAAAAGGATCCGCGACTCTCTCCTGTGCAAGCTTAGAGAGCTAAGCTCCAATAAATCCAGTAAAAAATCACATCTAGGAGCCTATGTTTTTGTTTCTCAGCTTTGAAATCTTGATCTATAACTGGAGTAAAGTCAAGGGGACAGTGAGTTTCTTAACTCTTTTGCTGTCAAGATCTGATTGTCAATTCTCCCCTCTAGCTGCTACACATTTCCTCATAAATAAGTTACGAGAATTTGGTGTTAGATCGAGATAACTTCTACCTGATAAGTTTGAGTATTCTCACGACCTGTTTGCTGGATAATTTTTAGATTTTACAGGGAGAGGTTACATGGCAATCACTTTTAGGAGTTAAAGGTTAAGCTTAGTCGGATAAAGGAACGGGAATTTCCCTTTAATACATAGCGGTCTACTACTTTCCGTGCTGTTAAAAATCAAGTGTTAATAGAATACAGATTGCTAGAATCCGAGTTTCAGAAGGATAAAAATTGGATTGCCTGTACATTTTCAAAGTGAGAAAATTGTTAAAATAGATCTTTTTTGGTCATTTCTTTTGCATGTGAGCTAGTTTCGTCATTCATATAAACTGACAATCTTGAAATAAAAGAAGACCGTTTAACTAAATTGTTCATGAGTACCCGACGGAGACAGAGTCCGCCTAAAGTCAGCCTTTCAAAATGAAAGTTCAAACATTTTGCTCCGAAGAATAAAGCTGCCATGTGCATGCCAAATTTATTTCAAACGGCGATCATGAAGCATGTATCATTGAATCAAATACAAAATAAAAAACCGCCGACTGCTTTACTAGATATGCTTCCAGATCATTATACAAATGAATTATCGTAATCTAAAACAACATGAAACACCGCCGACAAGTTAAGCTGCCAAAAGAAAATTAACGAGACTAATGGTTTTTTTCCAATGCCTGTGGTAAAAGAAATATTTAAAGAGTACTCAACTTTGATTTCTTGGGTAAATATTGTTTTGATCTCACTTTTTTCTCGCTTCCGAGACGCTCTTGCGCCATGTTTGTTGGTGGTGAGTACAGTATTACGGAAGGGGTTTACGGCTAACACACCATTGTCTCTTTTCCATGCAAATACCACCAGAGATGCTGTTTCCAATTGGACCTTTTCTGCCATGCTACTCTTGGAGTTCGCAAACAGTGACTTATAGGCTGACCCTCGGTACATTATGTACAAACCAGGTGTTACTAGTCATTTTGATCACAGCAGTTATTTCAATCTAGACGCTAATCACTGCATGCGTTAAGTTCATTGCCGCAGCTTGTGGGTGAACGAATGTCTCATAGAGGACCAATGGGCTTGGAATATTAGCAAAGTCTTGCAGAGCATATTTACGATCTCGAAACATTTTAGCTGCTCCTACAAAGTCGCGTGGCATATTCTCTACGACAGATGCGAACACTTAAAAAAGAATAGGATGTACCATAAAAGAAAAGGAAGCTTTGTAAGAGCAAGCCACTTTGTAATTGGATTATTATTCAAATTGTCAAATGCTGCTCTTTCACAAAGAACTAAATTGTCGGTCAAGCTTATAAAAACAGAATACAGCCCGATAAGTTCAAAAATTTACTTATTGCACGAGGGTTGTCACGATACCTTGCATCATTAACTTCAAATAAATGAGGCAATAATATAACGAAATAAAGGGGCTACGTTTCTGATAAAACTGTGGTGCTGCGTCGGTCGGGGTAACAGCAGATGATTTGGTTTTATTTGAATCGAGTTGATAATGTAAATTGGCCACCATAAAGTGTTTCTAAGGGTAACGTTTCTAGCACAAGTCTTTATCAGAGGGAATGATTAACTGATCTATGAGAAATTGCGGTTTGCTTTTTGCACAAGGATCATAGATTGCTTGTAGATGACGACAGTTTCACAAAATTCGTGCTGTCAGACCCGATGAGTACCCGACAGAGACAGAGTCCCCTAAACTCAGCCTTTCAATGTGCTGGAATGAAAGTTCGAATATTGTGCTCCGCCGAATAAAGCTGCGTGCCATGTACATGCCAAATTCATTTCAAAGGGCGACCCTGAAGCATGCTTTACTCAATATGCTTCCTAAGCATTACACAAATGAATTATCGTAATCTAAAACAACATAAAACACCGCCGAGAAACTAAGCTGCCAAAAGAAAATTAATGAGACTAATGGTTTTTTTACCAGTGCCTGTGGTAAAAGAAATATCATTGTGAAGGATACTCAAGTTGTTGTAATGAGTTAAGTAAACAAAAGAGTTTTGTGGAAACACGAAAAGTCAAAGTTGAAAATCCAAGCCTGATCTGAGCAATATTCCAGTAGCAAGGGTTGAAGAACTGTGTAACGACCAGCCAATGGTAAGTAGAATCAAAAGCAGCACTGTTTTAGGTTATAAAAAGTAAATTAAGCAGATGTTTTCTGACATGAATTAAGTAACTTTCTGTTCTAAATTTACAAGATCTTATTTTGTCGTAAGGTTCGCCTAAGGCCGCTGAAGTTTCTTGGTAATCTTCAATTAACAGGCTCTTTGATTTCTTGGGTGCATATTGTTTTGATCTCACTTTTTTCTCGCTTCCGAGAAGCTCTTGCGCCGTGTTTGTTGGTGGTGAGTACAGTATTATGGAAGGGTTTACTAGCATTTGCTTGTAAATTTTGGTTTACTACCGTTGTCTCGTTTTCCATACAAATACCTCCAGAGCTGCCGTTTCCAATTGAACCTTTTGTTCTATTTCTGAATTGAGTCGAATTCATGGATAGTGTTGGATTGCACTCGATTGAGTAGGATTGTTGATGGTTCGATTGCCTTCACCAATTGTATGAGATACCTTAGAATTCTCTTTTTTTAAATTATTTTCAGAACCTAGATCAAGTTTCATAGTTATTGTTTTATAAGGTGCAAACAAATTTTTTTAGTTGTTTTGATCAAACATATGTCTGCTATTGTACACTGCTATCAGAAAATATTGAACCTCAAATTGTCTTCTTGATACTTCTGCGGTCAAATTAGTTTCAGAGTTCGAAAAAATCGCTTACCATTCAGGTTATACAATAAGGAATTCTAAAGGCGAGTTTATTACAATAACAAATACGTTAGGAATTAGGACTAATATCAGTGTGGTCACTTAATAGTCGCTGTTTTCTTGCGTAGAGCAATGACCACTTACTGTAAGGAAAACTTTCTGTGATCATAGGCAGCAGACATCTCCTGTTAAATTTGGCATTCTTGCCTAGTTTCGTTTCATTTTGCCTTGACATATAATTTCAAACGCACATCATCACCACTGGATACTCCCTCGTTAAAATCGAAGACTAATTTTTATTATCTAATTGTACTAAGAAACCTACAGGCTCGATCGTTAAAAAAAAGGCACAACACGCAAAAATCCCTGGCGGTACACACACCAAGGCGTTCATTGAGATATATTCTGTCTGCTCTGTCATCAATATTCTTTTGTTATCGTTTCGTAGGTTTTTCTTGTCCACCTCTTTTCTTTTCAGTTTCAGGTATAAGAACTCACGCTATTTGGTTTAACCAAGAATTGCCGAGGTATTAATTTTAACGCAATTGACGACAAACTACAATGGTGGGGGCTAAATTTTGTTACTTGGAGGTAAGTTAGGGCAACGGGCCTATCTGTTCTTGTATTCTGCAAATTCAATTCAAGAAGTAGTCGATGCAAGTACTTTCTCATCTTGAGTTTGAATTGTCAAAAGGATAGAACTAGAATTAAAAAAAACTACTTGAGCATTATGACGATTTTTAAAATTCCTCGCACGTTCACTTTAAAAGCCAACTCTGTTCGAGCGACTAAACAATTTATCTCTAGATTCATTGATGAAAAAAAGTATCCGTGGAAATTTTGACACCTATAACCTAGAAGTACAGCTTTAATTAGATTTCAGTTTTTCGCAAAATAAGGGCTCTTTCAATCTCTGCTGGACAGCTAACATAGAAAGCAGTATTTTAAGTAAATCGTAGAGCGTTCAAAAAGTGAGAAATTACTACTGTTAAAGTAATTTTGAAATTTGGGCTGCAGATCTTTAAAAATCATTGCTTTATCTTCATCCGTGCTGGATGAAGACAAAACTTAAAACTTTTGAAAAGAAATGTTCTATTTAAGAAATTCACTTAACGGATATTTGTTCTTTATTGCAGTGATATGACTTGTAGGTAACAGTACATGCGCCGACGTTTTCCACGATTGAAGTAAAATTTTTAAGCTCGTTTTTGTTTCCTTTTGCCTTTGACAGCTGCTTGTTTTTATGGTGCTCTTGCCGGGCGTTTCGTGTTCCCCGATGCTCAGGTGTCACCCAGCCAACCTTATCGAGTATAGAATGACCATAGAGTCGATGACACGTCAACATAAAGCCAAAAGATTCTTGTTAATGACTGAAAACTTTAGCGGTGAATTCAATCTGTCCTTCACGGGGGGTGACAGAGCACCGGGGACAGGTGAGATAACTAATATTTACAGTAAATTGACCATACACAAAGGAGTTATGTTATGGTTTGAGAATCTTAAAAACTTCATCCAAAACTTTTCAAGTGAACAGACGTTTAAATTCCTCCTCAATAAATGCCATATTGTATCGGCCTTGTTCTTTCTATCTTCCTCGTTGCCTTTTAATGTTTAACTACTCCAACAAACTTAAGTTTTCTAAATCCCCCAACGTTAAGGGCAATTTTACAAGTCACAGAAAATCCGATTAAAATATCTTAAATGGTCGACTAAGCGACCACATGCAACTTCCGTAGTCAGCTACGCAGACTTTGTGCAAGTAAACTCTCAGACGTCTCCACTGTGAATCAGCCCAGTACGGTTGCGGGTAAGAACAAAACAGAGTCACAAAAACTACAACTCAAACACAAACTTAAAACAGAATCACAAAATCCGCAAGACTAACACAGAACTCTACAACACAAATACAAAACTCTACAACAAAAACACAAACTTAAAACAGAAGCACAAAATCCGCAACACTGACACAAAACTCTACAACACAAACACAAACTTAAGTTTGTGTTTGTGTTGTGGAGTTTTGTGTTAGTGTTTACCCTGTTTTGTTCTTACCGGCCACCGTAGCCCAGCGATTTCTATCGCAGATAGGCAGGTTACAGTAGCTTACAGTTCATTTTATCCAAAGAGGGTATAGTGGGTTGCCAGAGTGCATATGTGGAAACGGAAATAATTTCATAACATAAGCTTTTACGGCGATGAGAGCAAACCAAAAATCTGGGCGATTACATAGGAAAATGTTTTACCAGAAATAAATGCTCTTAGATTCTTTTCCAGTGCATAAAGTTGTGATACAACTTAACCCTTTCATTCCCAAGATCTCTTTTATAATTCTCCTTACTTCCTGCCATACATCTGTTATGATGTTAGTTCGGAGAATTTGGTATTCGATAAACTATTAGTTTCCTAATTGATATTTTTCTTTATTCTCATCACTTGTCGGCTTGATTTTGTATTGGTATTATAAGGAGAAATTTTGCCTTGGTCAGGCATGGGAGTTAAAGGATTAAGATACCAAGATACTACTAAAATAGATAATGGAATTAATTTCTAAGCTGAGTTATCAGCAATGCAGTGGCCGACAGGAAAAAAGTTTTCAAGACTACTATTTGTGTTTGTTCATAGAGTTTGTCTTGAGAAAAGGATGTCCAGGTCAAAACCTGGGGTATTCCTTCAAACCCTTCAAAAAACCGGAATTCATCATAGCTGTGGAGAATGGACAGTTGATGGTGAAGGTAAGTCCCTGTTATCATTGAGAACGATGCGTGGAAAAGGTCTTTGATTAGGAAAGGTCCAAGTGTGACCTTAACCTCCCTTTTGTTATGAAATGTGTTGATTTGTTATGAAAATTGCACATCTTGTAATAACTGTAATTGCCAGCCAGATGCCCGAGTGAAATCATCTTCGTGAAAATTCTGCCCTAAGGATATAACGGACTAGTTGTGCAATTCGCTTCAATTCATTTTTCCAACAAGAAAAGGGCTTCCCCGGCAACATCTTCAATAGATCTAAGTATGGAAAAAGTATTGCTCACATAGAATACGCTGGAGCAGTACTTTATCTTAATTTTTTTTCTCAAATCTTGTATTCATCCATTAATGACGATCTGTAAATTCTACTTAGATAAAAGTTGTCACGCCCCGATGGCTTGGCTGTTGATTCTTAGTTTTCAATATATATGATCTTCACAACTACATCACTTTAGACCCGGAGAGAGCCCTTTCATGAAAATAAAAATGCAAAATAGCGTTTTGAGGCAGTTGGTACAAATTCTCAAACCTTGCACTTCATTTTGCAGAATGCATCAACAGTGGATCTGACAGACAAAAAATGGAGGTTCGATTTGAGAACGATCTCAGTGCGATACTTTGGCAGTGACCGAAAGTCGAATGACAACATGATTTATCACGCACTGGCGTCTTTATCTACACCTCGAGCGGTGATTAAAAGTAAAAGGTCTGGAAAAGTGTACCTTGATAACAAAAACAACTTGAAACCTTGTCGCGCATGGTTAAAAATAAACATCATATGAATGGTGCCTTCACTAAGCCATGTTCAATTTGATATCTTTTGTTACCCCACGTGTAGAAATTATTGCAGCAGTTCAGTTTAAAGTAGTGGGATGTTGAGGGCCTAAATGTAATAACCGTCCTAATTGTTATAAAGTCCTTAATGTAATAAAATTTGGTCCTAATTGTAATGACATTTAGTCCAAAATATAATAAGCCTCCAATGCAATCGTTTAACTGCGCTAGTGCACTGTAGTTATAACAGACATCCACAATGAGATGTTAAAGTGACAGCTGTTGCACCAAAAAATCCTCTGATCAGTATTCATGTCACATTGCAGGCTCACTGATATCAATCAGAGTCTTCCTATTTGCAAGACTTAAGTCGAGAAGTGTTGGCTGGAAACTATTATAACTTATTATCTCTCTAATTTTTATCTACAAACATTACGCTATCGACATTGCTGGTCCTAGCAGTATGCAGGACGCGTATCATATGAACTTCGTAATAGATCTCGTTCACCGTGGAGTCTCTGTGGCTCAGTGGTAGAGCATCGGAGCACGGAATCCGAAGGTCTGTGGTTCGATTCCTTATGGGGAATTTTTTCTTAGTCCCACGCTCGTGACAAGACGAAAAAAGTATCTTTCTTCAAAACTATTATACTGATGAACAATTGGCATCAAATAACAGCTGGCAAAACAATGAGTACGCTGACCAATACCACTCCATATATCAGTGGCTCAGACTCTTAAGCACATTTGTTTTTGGAAAAATGTGAAAACGTAGTATTTGTGGGATCAGTGATGGATTTAACAAGTCATAAACCAAATTAAAAACTTGGATAAGGGAGTCCGACTTGTAGGTCGGACAATTTGAAGGCTGGGATATACATTGTTAGTCTTTCCTTGCCTGACTAAACCTTGTTAGCATGCACGTTTTGTTTCCCAATTCAGACCTCGTGACAGCACTCTAGAGAGTTATTACTTTCAAATTCTCGAATATCTTCGTGAGTATATACAAATTAATTTTTCTCTCCATGAGAACATGGAAAATTATGTTCTCTTGATCTTGAAGATGCAACAAATCCGACCAAAGAACAAGGTATTGCATGGGTCTGCATCAAATTATAAACTCAGTGACTTGCATAAATACAGTGAAGCTGCTAACCAGCACATCGTCACAAATCGCCGGCTCAGATTGCCAATCACAAAACAGACGATTAACAAATATTGCTATTCCTCCTGAATGGGAGATACATCCCAGCTTTCTATTAGATTTCCTTAACAGTTCGCCAGAATCCAATCATACTTCTGGCTGCAAGTACAGCTTCTTGCTCGAAAACACGAAAAAATAATCTGGCGGGGCCTGGGATCAACCTCTTGCGACCGAATAGCTGATCTGTCTTCAATCAAATCGATATTTTGCCTCAGCAATGTTGAAACTAAAAGCAATGGAAATATCGCAAAAGAACATAGAATTCTGTAGTTTTTGAGCTACAAGACCTGCACCATGATACCGTAAATTGAGATCTAAGATTATTGCAGTGGACTTGTAGAGTTATCGCAGCTTTAGAAGCTTTCGAGAAACCGGACCCGAAATTCTGGATCAGGAGTCCAATGGGTCAACTAATGCGCTACCTCGTCTCCCGCCCCCCCTGAAAAAGTAAGAATACCTCTATCATTAAATCGTTTTCTTACTTTTATTTCTTGGAGCACCTGGTTATATGTTCATGACCGTTCATCATAGATACATTTCATGCCATCTTCGCTTGTTTCTTTGATTGTAATTTCCGTTATTACTTAAATAATAAATTAATACTTTATTGATGGTGGCTTTATCCATTCTGTACTAAGGAACAAAATGTAAAATGTCGTATGCACTTATCTTTAAGGGCTTATAAAAATTACCTTGAAATTGAAAGCGCTATGTCTATAGTACCAAGAGCTGTGATTACAATCTTCGCACTGAAGGGGAGTAGACTCGTTCGGCCGCCACCTCTCCCCTTCCAATTCAAGATACATATATAATAATATAAATGAAAATTACGCGCCTTTGATTGGCTGTCTAGGTAATCACATGATTTTTCCCGTGCAATTTGGAATAAATAAGCACGAGTAAATTTTTTCAAAGACTAATAAAATTACAAAATCGATCAAAACAATAGTATACAATGATATTTTCACATCTTTAAGGCGCAAAACAGTTCAAAGTCCGGCTAAACAGTTCAAGGAATTGTTCAGTCTGGTTTGTTACTTCTTTGCACTGAATTACCTGAAAACTGCATTTACCTGAACCAATCAGAACTGAGTAATTTTTTTTATGTATCTTATTATTCATTTTTTTTTCTCAGTTCGTGAGCGGGCGGTATTCTACAAATCCTACAATCTGATTGGTTCCGAGAGCGGGCAGTATTCTCCCCATCCGGCACGCTCACAGGTATTCCGGTTCTTTTAGCAACCATTTGTTAGGTTTTAGAGAAAAATAAAAATGTTATTCACCAGCCAAGGTCGGTCCGTATTGGGAAAAACTGTGCCCTCTGTCTTGTGTAACGCAAATAAATTTTTCAAAGACTACAAATTTCACTCGCCTTACGGGCTCGTGCTGTTACAAGCGAGCGGGACATACACAGAAGTTATTAAACTCTCTCTGTTTTCTTATTTGTCGTTGATCAAATTTTAAATTACGAGATGATTCCGCGTCGAGCTAAATGGATTCTTTAAACGTGTGGTTAGTTTTATGATTTATAGTTCCGTTCTCACGCAAAGTGTCGCTGAGATATAAATCGCCATCGAGTACTGCAGATTTAATCAAACTTACACAATTTTTAACTCGTGGATACGCTTTAGAAAATTGAGATGTCAGATGATGGAAGAAAATATTATTGAAAAAAACTAATGGTATGGTTTTTCATAGCTCTCTTTACTGTGAATGAACTTAAAAAGTAAATGTAGAAAACACGTTGAGACTGTATTCGCATGGTTTCCAGGGGTGGTCTGTTTAGGTGTAGGTCTTTCCAGCTGCCAAATATGTGTAACATATAGCCATGTGGCAGCCAAAGAGATACGCAAAAATCAACTTGAAGACAAGAGTATGAAAGAATTAAAATCGCTCAGACGGCGCGACATAATATCTCCATATCTATCGTTGATTTTCATCGTCGATTTCGAGACTTTGAAGCTGAGTATTCCTCTGCACGTTTGCTCTTCGTTTTCGAGATCTAAAAAAGTGTATTTTGATCAAGTACGGAGCAAAGAGAGGCGGAAAAATTACCTTGACGATTATAGCGTACGGTCTGACAAAATATTTTGTCGATTTTACGACTTTACAGCCCTTTTCTTTCTAATAAAGTATTGTTACGCACATTTCCTCTTCGTTTGTAAGGTATACATAGGTATATTTTCATTGGGGATGAAGCGAAAAGAAGGAAAAACCAGCCAGATCGTATTAGCCTCGGGCCCTACGACAGACGCCATTTTGAATTACGTCTTTGTACCACCCCCCAGATATTTAAAAAGCGACAATAGCAGGATTTTGCTGACAGAGGCAGAATGGACTGAATCGTGAAGATTAAAGCACTAGACCTACATGTACTGTAAAATCCTCGATCGGTGGTTACCAATGCCTAACAGTAAGTATTCCATGTCAAAAAGCTCCACTCCTAGCAGAGATACACTGTACACAGCTGTATACCTTGATAAAAGTAGAGTACCACAAGGGAAGAGTAGAAATCGATAATTTCAAAACCAATCGATCAATCAATAGAAGAATCAGTCAATGCTTTAAAGTAAGGATTCTCTAACAAAATTAATTCCTAACTGGTGTAGAGTATTCATAGGTCAAATAACTCTTTTCATTCCTCTGATTCAACTGTCCTTTATTCAATAATTAATACATTATATCTACTATATAATACTCGTAATTAGATATTTTACTTCTATTTAGGAGAATCCACATTTACGACACGATTGACAAATATAAAGTTTCCTCACAGCGGTAACGCTATGTAACGCAATACACTACAACTGGCATTCACCTCATAAAGTATGAGTATGAGTTCTTATGCATACTATAGCTGAAGATCTCAAACGTTTAGTTGTAACTTACCAATAATATCGAGGCTGAAGCACTGTGATGCGATCGACCATCCCAGTGAGGAGACAAGCGGCGCATATAGTTGACACAAAGGAATCAACTGTCCACAATTTGACTGACCTTTGCAAAGTAATTAGATCACTACGACTAATGAAAGGCACATGCACACTGAAGAAATGAGCCCTCAAGGATTTCTGGGACTGACCAATCTTGGTAACCACGCTTTTTCTACCGGCGGGAAAAGTTACTTAGATGACACTCGATGCCTCTCCCACACCGGGACAAAAAGGGCCTTTATATAAGGGCTGATTCACACAAAGGGACTGAATTAAATTCCTTAGTGGGCCAAATTGGTTTTTGGCGGGGTAGAGATGGTTTTGAGGGTCGAAGACTCATTTGATAAAATGGGCCTACAAAGGGTCAAGACAGCTCCAGGGGCCATATTTTGAATTTACAGCGCAATTATTGTTTGTTTCCTGTAAATTCTATGAAAAGGAATGACGTCATTTGATCACGTGATAATACCTGTTCAGCTACTTATTGGGCACTGCTATCATACATAATATTAAACTAGATGTAATCGCAGTTTTCAAAAATGCATGGCAGCAGTACTACCCCTGAGTGGTACCGAAGGGTCATTTTTCGGGGTCATGGCCCATGGACTACTAGAGATATCAAGTTGGGCCTTCACTGGCATTGACTTCGTCAAAACCTGGAAAAGCTTTCCTTGGTTAAGGGGAAGGTAAGGGTAAAAATAAAATGAACAAGTTAAAACAGTTCGATTTTCTTGAAGTCTGATAGATATGGAGCATAAAACAGTGGATTGAATTTGCGAATGGCATTTCTGTTTTTCACAGGAGCAAGGCAAAGTTAACTCATTAACTGTGCAAAAAAATGCAGCCAAACATTGGGATATCCCAAGGGGGCTCCATATCTTCCAGGGAATTGATTAATTTGAACTATATCACTTTCACATATTTTTTAACTCGTAATACTTTGCTCTTGGGCGATGTTTGAGCCAAATCAGTGATATAAGCATTATCACCCCCGCATGGTACCACCCGGTTTTTTTGTGGACAAGTTCTTACTTAACTGCCCAAGCGGTGGGTCATGACCTTGCGACTTCAAACTGTAGGTTTTCTTCTATATCAGTTGCAGGCGCTATAGAAATTGGGTTTAGGGAGAGGTAAGTTCCAGAGAGTGAAACGAAGCCTTTAATTTACGTAAAAATTTAACAAAAATTTATGCCAATCTTAACCCATATTTGTCATTACACAACTGATCGATTTCCCATCTTCGCCTTTATGGTCTTCATGCACAGTTCCTAAGATCCATTATCTTCTGTGACGTGGTCATCGAGTGGCGCGAAATAGGAAAGGATACATCAATTTGCGCTCTGTAAATTATTTAAAAAATACATTAGCTAGGGTGATATAATGCTCTTGATTTCACATCAACAGATCAAAATAAAAGTTAGTACGAATAATTCATAGGTAGGTATGTTAAACATATATGCCATGCTGCATGTCTCTTAATTTCTCAAAACTTTGTAAACGAATGCCAAAGTTTCTTTGGGCATGTCCTCGGCTGCATACATTGGTATAGTCTGTTTGGACGAGCAGATCCATTTCCCAGCTTTTTCTAGCTCCGAAATAGTTTCCTGATAGTCTCCTAATTCCTTTTCCCAAATATTGAAACAGAGGAGGCCATCTGCAAAGCAATTAATATCAAGATTAAGTTATCTTGTGAGGTTTTTATCTTGAGAAGTCTCCAACTTTGCGTCTAATTTTTTTCCATGCAATGGAGTCTTTCATTCGCAGAGTTGTTCAACCTGTAACCTTACTATATGATCACTATTTTATCCAACAAAAAGGTGGAGAGAACAACACGCTTATCAACTAGAAGGCGTGATCTTGATATCACAAGAAATTCCTTCAGCGAATTTGTAAAGTCCTCATTTAGTAGAAAGAAAGGAAATTTACGGGTCAGATCTCAGTCAAACGAATATTCTAAGAAAGGTTTTGCATGATCTATGTCATGTTTGAAGCTTGAAAAATGAACTCAGAACAAAAACTTGATAAATTAACGAAATAAAAACTTGTGAATTACTTATAGACGTTTTCCCTTTTTGCAATCCCGTTATGCCCTCAAACTTAAGTCATCCCTCTTCTATTTTTGGTAAATAATATTCTTTCACCAAAGGTTTTACCAAAGCATACTGCCATTTCAGGCATATAGTGGCCGTCAAATTGAAGATAACATTTTCTTTATAGGGCATAAAAAACATTGTGCGCGAGCTTCTTACACAACAGATGTTTTGGACTTGCGACCAATTGACTCACCAGCACGAACCATTCTGATCATCTCCACAAAAGCAGATGAACGAACAAGGCCTTCAAAGAGTGTCGCAGCACAAATCAAGGCATCAAATTGCCCGGTTTCAATCTGAGGAATCGGCGGCTCGCTCAAAGAGGCGCAGATAAACTCATTATAGATCTCTTTCTCCTTTGCTTCCTTTAACATCTCAGCTGAGATGTCCAAAGCACATAAGTTGGTGTATCCGAGTTTCTTGAGCTCAACTCCTATCAGCCCTGTTCCAGCTCCAGCGTCAATGATTTTAATCTGATCGTTTGGTTTATCCAGGAAAACATCTTTCAAGGTTTTATGCAAACATTCGGCAAGAGGCTTGTGATAGGCAGAACGTGCCGCTAAATGTTCCTATATGATAAGAAAGTTGAATCTCGTGGAACAACTACTAAGTTGAGAAATATAGAATAATACATGGAGCGCGTAGATATGGAATTTCTCTTCGAGTGTTTAACTCGATAGCTCACGAGTAAGTGCAGCGAACGAGTGAGATGTCGAGTTGAACACGAGAAGAGAAATTCCATATCTACAGGCAACCATGTATTATTTTGTTTATCATATAAAAACAATAGCCCTTTACTGACAAGAAAAACCGACTACATTAATGAATGAAAATAAATGAATCGACAATTCCCGAATAACAATCGTAGAGCGCATGGGCAACCATGTATTATTTTGTTTATCATATAAAAACAATAGCCCTTTACTGACAAGAAAAACCGACTACATTAATGAATGAAAATAAATGAATCGACAATCCCCGAATAACAATCGTAGAGCGCATGGGCGCTAACCTGACCGAGTAGCGCCAAAGGCGAGTGACGTGTCAGCAGCTGATTGGCTATATCAACACACGTAAAAAAATACGATATTTTTTCAGGTGTGTTGTTACGGCTTTTCTCAGGGCCGGAAATCTCTGTATGATACCGCAGTTTATGTTATAGAAATTATATCAATACGAAACCAATATTGCATTATTTTTCATTTTTATCGATAAGATCCGTCTTTCTATTTACTTGAAGGAAATTCTATTTAATGTTCATGTTTCAGTAATGGATCCAAATGGAACGTGTTTGGCCATAAATGAAATGACCCTTAAATAAAGTCAGGATCTTGTGACCTCCTAAATCCTGTGCCTGATGCAGTCTCATGTGTCGATCAATTCGAAGCTTCGATACACCCCGTCCGGGGAATTGAACATTTGAAGATTGGTTCGTTCTAATTCCTTCCCCAGGGGGAAAAGTTGTGTTCCACCGTCCCTCCCACGTGGCGGATCTGATCATCATTTTTTAGCGACCATTATTTTCTTGTAAACATTTAATTCTGAGCCATCTGCTCGCAATAGTTACCTTTTTCCCTTAGCAGTTTAACTCTCAGAAGTGATTAAAGACATTGCCACGATTGTTTTGTAATACCCGCATTGTTATACCCTTGATTCAGACTGAAAAATATTGCAGTGCGTTCGTTAAGCTACAAGGACTTTTGAGAAACGGGCTAATAAACTCTCGATCAGGAGTACGATGGTTCAACCGATGAGCCATATCGTCACCTTCCCCTGAACAAGAATGTTCTTATCATTATTTTACTTTCATTTCGAAGATCACCTGGTCATACGTTCTTGATCTTTCATCATAGATACGTTTTACTTCGTCTTCAGTTGTTTCTTTGGTAAAGTTTCCTGTTTTTGCTCCAAAATACTTTGTAAAGCCTGCTTTGGCCTGTTCTTTATCCATTCTATACATAGGCAAAAAATGCAAAACATTTCCTACAGTTGTCTACAACGGCTTATGAATCTTACATATGAAGAAAGAATTTGGCCCAAAAAAATCTATGTTTAAAAATTAGTAACTTACAATTCCATGCCGTTCGGATCAAACAGTCCCAAATTTGGGAGAACACAACCCCCGGACAGTGCTAAACGAAGGGAATCGTCGCCTAGTTTGTTCACTAGAAAACTTTCCTCGTCCATGCACTTGAGGAAGAAGCTGGTGCATGCAAATGAAAATTTCACAAATTGGAGGCAACTTTTTGGTAAGTTTAGAGACGCATTTTTTCATCTAAAAATATGTTTTTTACCTGAGACCCTTAACAACGGGAGATGTAATTGCTCAATCGACTTTCTCGCACAAAGCACCTTCGCTCGACTGGTGACTGATCACGATGGACACTTCTCCGACTGTTCTGTCCGTTTAATATACTTTCTTAAGCTAGATCCTAGGAGTTAGATCCCTAAGGCTCCAATGGGGTGTATTTAAATGTGTTTTCCCCCCAGCTCATGGGTGACTTTATAAGAAATTCAGACAAAACATTGGTTATGGCCCGATCGGGTAATAGCTGTTTGCTGGTGGACAAGGGACACCTATGTTTTTAGTCTTATTTAGAATTGCTGCCTTTCCAATCAAATAAATTGTAACAGTTACACTTGTATTTTGTAAATGAATCCACTCAATGTAAATTAATTCTGTGGACATAATGACGCTACTTTTAACCCGTGAATACGTTGTTTACAAGATGGAGAAGTCAGATGTTGGAAACAAAAATCATCTCGATGAAAATTAATGGGATACTTTTTCATCGACACTGCTTGAGTGAGCTGTAAGGGTGGATTTACAGAAAAGACTTAAGACTACATTTAGGGGTCACAAAGATTTTAACCGTTAGTCGTAAAAAAATTAACCGTAAGTTTATCCTGGTGTCCACAATGGAAAGATATACGTAAACGCCTTCACCCTATTAAGACTCCAACGTTTGCAATTTTGCTAAGAGATATGAGGGTTTTTCAGAATTTCCGTTTTTTCTTTATACAGCGAAACTTAATTGTGCGAAATATCTATGAAGTACTAGAACCCCAAAGACTTCGACGAAAAGATAAAACTGAGAGTAACTTATCTGAGCGATAAGATACTCTCAACGCGTGTTGCTATATTCCTTTGTTTCCATAAAATCCAGTCTAGAAGAATAATGAACACCGGTTGCGTTTATAGAGCTTCAGGGTTATGAATTGAATAACGCTTTTCCTGACTCTTCTTTCGTGTTGACAATCCGTACATATGAAAGAAGTGCGGCACGCAGTTCTACTAGTGGGTGGTATTAGCAAGCATATGCTGTTTTTCTCACACTTAGTTTTCAAACAGAATATTGATTAAAAAACTCTTTTAAGCGAACGTTTCCGTGTTGTTTGTTTCCGTGAAGTGTTGCCCCTTAAAAAGGACTGGAGCAGTTTCATCGTAAACTTTTCCAACGAACTGTCCTCGCAACGAGCTCTCGAGATACTCGTTATTCCAAATTAAACTTGATCTGTCCAAAGAACTTGAGGTGATACCTCATAAAAAAATAGATCCGCAATGCGTACATGTGTGGCTTACAAAATTGAGCTGCTTTTTAGTGTCTGGTGTCTCACTGGGTTTCTATTAGAAGAGCTAATATCTGATTACCATTAGATAGTTTTCAATATCGATCCTGTTCATCAATAACACAAGATAAATAGCATAAAAAAGTCCTGAAATGTTCATTCTGAAGATGAGAGTTATTGGCCAAACTTTGTTATTGGAGGTCTCATTTTGACAACAAAGGTTGCACATGTAACCCAAGGATTTTAGGAACTGAAAAAACATCAGCATAATCTCCTCATAGAGGTCTGATAGATTCAGTCATGATTATGTTTACGTAACGAAGTGGAATTGACTTCTGAAGTTTGTAGGTTGATTGTCTTTTCCAAGGCAAGTGATGTGAAATTAACTCTAAGGAAGAATTTAATATGAATATTTTTGACATTTTGTGTACCAGTACACAAGGACAAAACTTTGCAGAAGGGCAGGGACATTGGGAAATGATGTAATCTACACTAGAAGCCATTGGGAGCTTGATTTGGTTTGAATGTATGACTAATTTTGGAGAATACATACATGTAAAGTAACACAATGCTGAGTGTAGGTTTCTTTAGTCCATTAGGGCCTAAAGTTCAACTTTCAGTTGGTTGAGAGCAAAACCTTTACTATAATTATTGTATTTAGGTTTTGTGGGACTGTATTTTCAATAAAGAACACAGAAAAATTTAGCTCAGGTAGGTAGATATGAGGTTGTAAATGGAAAGAGTCTAGAGAAAAAAGATAGGTGCATTACAAGATCAGAACACAAGCAATATTTTAATGAATCATATGTTGAGTTAAGTACTCTGAAGTAACATTGCTAATAATTTTTAACCCAATAAGATTTACAATTTGACCTGGAGGTTTTATTTAACAGAAAGTTAAATAGAGATAGAGTGTCACCATGATAGATTTCAGGAACAGTAATCAGAGACATAACTTAAACACAGTAGAGTCCAATGTACAGGCAAGTGCATGATGGTATCATATGATTTAAACTACCAGATGCTTTCAAGTTTTCTTATTATTGAAATTGTAATTTCATGCCAGTGAGTCTACCAAATTCAAGTTATGTGGAGAAATGAATAGGTGAACTTGACATCATCATGCAAATAATCAACTTGACATCATCATGCAAATAATCAACTTCACATCATCATGCAAATAATCAACTTCACATCATCATGCAAATAATCAACTTCACATTATCATGCAAAGTGCTACTCTACCGTACAAAAAGGTCCAAAACAAACATGGTAAGCAACTGAACTTCTTGTATCACTTTGTGTTAGAGCATATAAGAGGACTTGTGAGACTTGCTTCACTCTCATTTGCCAGAACAAGATTGAACTTCTGGTACCAATCAAAATTCAGAATGACTGTGACAGTTTGGAACTGATCTCTTAAAACTGTGCTTTTAAGGGGTCTACAGATATGATTAGAACCCTGGGTCTCTGAGGATACCTGATGGTTATCTAATCCACATCAAGTAGCTCTAACTCTTAACTATAAACATAACGAATGTCAGTTCCATTGAACTGTCTTAATAAAAACTCAACAAAGTCTAAGCTAAGTTATTTAAATTGTACTTTGGTATTCTAAATAAGCAGAAGTAAATTTTTCACAAACATCAAATGTTGAGCTCATAGCGTGTGCAGTTTAAAGTACTTGAAAAATTTACAAGTGCTCATCATATGAGAAATCATGTTATTAATTATTCATAATGTATACATGAAAGATACACATTTTCAGGAGATCTACAAACTGATGGCAGATAAATTTGACAGTATTGACTAAATGAAGTGTGCTACCAAAATTTGTCCTTCAGTTGAATTCTTACTCAGAAAGGCAATTTTGTTAGTGTTTATCAATATACATAAAAGTATCCCAGCTTTTGTATACTTTTGTCAGCTACTGCATGTATCAATCAGAACAACCTACTTTGTGCAAATCTGATTGGTTTCTAATGTGATTTATTGTTGCTGAGCCTAGTTTATATTATTTTGTACATGAGTTATTACTTGAAAAAGGCACCTAGCTATTTTCAGCCAATCAAAAAAGTGTAATTTTTCATGTATGTCAGTATTGCGATGAATTCGCCAAACCAAACAAGTAACTGAAAAGGAGTTGTAGTCTACCAAATAAAGGCCTAATATACTTGTATTGCTACCAAGTATAGATACCTATGCTTATCTGAACCATTATGAAGAGAATCTAGAAGACTTCTAAGCTTGAAGGAAGTCATGAAATGTTAAGGTCTGAATAATTCTGACCAGAACTTGGAAAACATAACACTAATCACATTTCAGTTGACATTAAAGCACTAGGCTCCTATTCATATTTTAATAAAAGCAAAACCACTTTGTCACTGAGTTTCAATGGATTACTCCCCAAAGTTTGGAATCGATCACAATAGACATTTCGCACCATGTTAATGACAAACCGCAGTTTCAGGTTAGGCGTTAGACGTTTGTGACTTTAATTGGTTTTGCTAAAAGTATGTAAACATGGAAGCATAATTTCATTTAAAGAGGCCGTCAAATTGAATTTCCAGACAACAGCAGTGTTTGATTTTCTAATGGCAACAAAAAAGTCCAATTTTCACTCACTAGCTAAAAATTGTTTATTCTATTCGTATTGGATGACACGTAATGCCATGGGTGGCAGGGTATTCTGCAATTTAACCAAAATTTTATCTCAGCATGTACTAAAAAGACTGGTCAAGTAATTTTCTTACTGAGCATGTGGTATAAACAGAAATTCAGGATAAAAAACGTTACGCTAAATGGCTTACGTGAAATGTGACCGCACAGAGAGTCTCCTAAGTTTCAATGTGGCTCCGACCTGCACCCTCCTGATTTGATCAGGAGTCTCCCGATTTGATGTCTGAAGGTCCAGACCATGAAAATTGCTAATATTGGCCTGTCACTGAGACACTCATATTACAACTCCACGCTGTAATCCCGGAATGATGTCAAAATTCAGGAAATGGCAGAAACCAAAAAGCCGACTATAGGAAAGCCGGCGTGTGAAATCTAAGCAACAAAGATGAACGAAAAACTAGATAAAAAACTGATCTTCGACAGCGTGTTACAGCTACCATTACAAAATAGTCGCTTTCTGAAGCTTTGAAGCTCCGGTAACTTAGCCGAGCATAGACTGGAATCTATCTTCGACGATAGTAAGCCACGTGACAAGCGCTCTGTTCACCGTGACAAATCCAGCCAGGAATAAATATCTTCGATCATGACATAGTGTGGTTTACAATTCGTGTAAGCCACACTAAAACATTATCGCACAATTGTTTTAAAACTTCCCTTAAATGTTCCTTACCATTGTCCCATGTCTGTTTCGAAAGCAACAATAAAAAAGAAAAAAACAAAAAAAAGGTCACCACGCTTGATTGAGAGATATGATGGGCCCAATCTTAACCCATTTATGTCTGTACTGGTGCTAACTACGCGTGTTATTTCATCGGTTCGCAGTACATTTTGCGGGAGCTGGAAGCAGGGGATTTTAAAGTTAAACTTGAAAAAATATTTGATTGGTAAAAAGTTCGGGATCGACTCAAAGCATTCCTTGAGTCATCGCTGTCAAAGTCATAATCTGCATACTTCGCTCGCGCTTTTAGTAATACCTTTTTCCCCCAAATAGTTTTTTTCAATTTTCAAATAATTTTTCTTAATAAGTTTTCAATTAACGAAAATGTTCATAAGATCAATTCCGGCTGAGTAAGTGGCAGAGAATGAAAATTTGCAAAAAGGAAAAAGCTTCCTCAGTAACTCCTATTTTTATCGTAATTATCGGCAGGAAAATTTTCACATATTGTGAAAATTGTGCAAGATTTCACCGAAGCAAATGGAGAAAATTTAAATCAAATTCAAGTTACTGTTACTGAGCACCTCCTTATGTGGCGTTTTAGTTCAAGAACGAAAACCTCTATGATGAAATTGACTACAGAAAACGGTGGCACGACCTTTGTTTATTACAGTTTAGAAACTTCAAGTAACCTGGAAGGTAGAAAACATCAAAAATTTTTCACACGCCCGCCCTAAGCAATGATGAAACCACCTCAAGTCATTTTAATGAGGGAAACTTTTTGGTATTTTTAGCTCTTCATGGGATATCTATTTTTAAAGTTTTAACCTTCTGATACCTACAGCTTTTGAAATTTACAATACTGATTTTCAGGTCTTTTTATAGTTTAATAAAGGCTGCGAATTCGTCAGTACTTTTACTACTGTCAAAAGGAACCCTCTTCAAATAAAGCCTTTCCTTACTGACTTACTATCGTCTGTTACTATGTCCTCAAGTGTCACGAACGATAAGTCTACACGAAAGAGGCATTAATCTGCATGTCTTAAAATTATGTCATAGAATATATCAGCTTTCACACCAAGTTTTATGTAAGCTCAGTGTTAGCTCGGTTCAATGAACACACAGTTTCCAGGCCACATTTTTGGTCTCATTTCTTCTTTCAATAATAAAACCTTGTTCACTTTCTCCACAAATTTCCCGCTCTGCGAAATACTTTTATTTATTTTGATCAAAAGGCTGCCTGGCAGGGGAACGGTCGGTCTAAGTCCCAGGCCTCAACATCTGCCTAAAGTATGTCTAACTCCTGACAGGCACAAACAGAACAAGTAAGGGATAATGAAAAAAACAGGTATAACTGAACAATGATTAACCTGCTGTGTTTTATGAACACGACGAAGGGCTAACGCTCGAAACGTCAGCTGCGAAACTTTTAGCGGTGGCCAATTTAAGCTAACAAGTCAGTTGATAAAACCGAGTTATCTTGTATTTATGAACAGTTCCATAAAATTTGTTGCTTTGCCAAAGCGACACAACTAGAAGCACGACTGAACTATTTCCCTCTCACGGACTAATGTATTCTCCTGATCACTCGAACGTCCACTCACATTGCACGACTGGCCCTGCACAAGTTCTGCCTCCTCACGGCCGCCACTTTTTACTATCCCCTGCCTGCATTTTAGTGCTTCGAAACTGGGCTTGATTTTAGTTTTGTATTGAATATTTCTCCTAATTCTAACTCTGAGTTTTTCAGGGCTGAAAGTCCTAAGAACTGAAAAGCACGTCGTACTTACCCTGACCCTAAACTCAACGAGCACGTTTCTCGGGAGTCCCGGTATTTATCGATCAATGGACTGGCTGGACTACCAATATTGGTTTTCTTTGATAAAATTGTACATTAATAGATGTTATTTAGGGTCAGGTCCGACAAAGAGCAACGCCCGTCGAGGCTATTGGTAACATCATTAGAACTATTAGATGTGTCCACGTGGAGGCAAATGATTTCTGCGAGCTCCTTTACTGAATTTGACAGACGTGTAGTTAGTCTCATGAGCTATAGTTTCGTTATTAAGATCTAATTTAAGTAAGACTATGTAGTTAACTCTGGGTGTGAAAACGCTTTCGAAAATTTAGAATTCAGATGTTGGTAGAAACATTTATTAGAAAAATCAGTTGAATGCCGTTTTTTCATAGCTTCAATCACTCTGACGAAGGGCTAACGCTCGAAACGTCAGCTTTTAATAAACTCTTTTCGGTGGCTAATTTACGTTACCAACTCAGTTGATAATACAAAATTACATGGTTATACCCTCCCACCGACGCAGCACCACTTTTTTTTTTAAAAAGTTACCCCCTTTATCCAAGAATGAGGGATTTGAAGGGCCAGTATATCCAGTGACCAACCACTTCGGATCATAATTCCTTCATGGGCATGGAAAGCCATCAATTGACTTTCGCAAAAAGTAGTAAAATTTCTGGGCAACTGATTTTATTATCCGTGCCGACATGAATTTAATCGAAAATCTGCTAGGTCTCACATTGCTATAATCTGTCTCGTTCAATCATTGATTTTTCTGAGTTTTCACTTTTTTTTTGCTAAATTTGGTACATCCTACACAGCAAACAATAAACTGTTCATTAACATTTTCCCCGCACGTTGCAAAAATATTTGCAACGTGCATATTTTCAGGTTATTGTCGAATGATATTCTAAGCAAATCAGCGAAGAGTATTTCTGCCCTCTTTTCTGGAGGAACCCTCAAAAATACCACATAACCGAAAACTTCAGCGAAAGAGATTCAATTCCTCGTTCGAGTCGCTCACACAAGGTACTCAGTGTCTGACCTCTTTCCGAACACAACGTTCGTCAACGTTCTATGACTTCGCGCGGTTTGCACGAACAGATTCACTTAGGCACGAAAATCAAACACGAATGACTGACTTTCTTTGATTTCTGGCTATGTCACTGAATAAAGGGGGTAATTTTTTTAAAGAAACTGTGTTGCTGCGTCGGTGGGAGAGCATAACAGGGTAATTTAGTACTATCGACTGAATTGATAACGTAAATTGGCCACCATAAAGAGTTTCAAAGCTGACGTTTCGAGCGTCTGCTCTTCGCCAATCGCTCTAACGAAGGGCTGACGCTCGAAACGTCAGCTTGTAAACAGTTAACGGTGGCCAATTTACGTTATCGACTTCGTTGATAATACTAAATTACCCTGTTGTCACTGAATAGCCCGAGATATATGGTCATGGCCCAGATTAGGAATAGTTGATTGCTAAAGCAAGCTGAATGGCAAATTAGGAGGATAAAGAATATGAAAGATCTCAACTACTTAAATCTATTAATACTTTTGCTGTGGTTTATAATCGAGTGCAAGATACGCGCAGACGTTGTTAAACTTTGTCCGTTAATTAAACTGTTATCAATGTTATCAATGTTCCCTAAATTTTAATTATTTATGTGCGTGGCTCACCGCTTAGCACACATTTTTGTTTTGATTTGCGCCCATTGAACCGTGGTCTCCCTCACAGCCGTTTTCCTGTGTCGTCACTAAAGGTTATCCTTCCGTTTGTGGAGAGGAAGGCCTTGCGTGACGACAGAAAACGGAAGCGAAGGAAACTAATTAAACCATGGAGCGGGCGGTTTGAGTTTGATTGATGTAGAATAGGATCTTTCTCCGATTCCGTAACTTTCCGTGTCTCTTTTATTAGTAGGCTACGCTTTGGATGTTAGTCAAATTCAAGTGAAATATTTTACTCGGTACAACTAAAGGTCGGATAAAGATTAACACTGATAAAAATAATATAAATAATAATAAAGTTAAAGCAACGTCGCAAAAACCGAGGAAACGGCCTCCACTGCTATGATTTGCATATTCGAAGACTTTAAAATGTCATCTACTGATTGCAGCGTGAGACTAACAGATCCTAAGGGTGTTACACTGGTAAAATTCCTATCTAAATTCTTTCTCAGACTTTCCTTTTCAGCAGGAAAAGCAAGCGTCTTGCGCCCGACATTACTGAAGTGCACACACTCCACCTTTTCATGTGAAAATTCATTTTTCATCCCAAAAACGATTTTTCTCACATTTAGGACCGTGACCTCCCGAACTTGTTTCCACCATGTTGTTGACATACCACGCCACGTGAAAGCAGCGCCGCGTTTTCCAAAACTGCTCAGAATTTTTATGAATTATCAACAATTATTCAACGAAGTGGAGGTAAATTGAAGTGGATATTTACCGAGCCGATACAGAAACCATACAAAAAATCTATTTCTGTCAAAATATCGGAAAAAATGTCGGAAAGCAAACTTTTGACACAAGTTTGTTTTCAAAAGTGTGAATTTGTTCGCCTAAAACGCATTGTTTCCAAGAGACCTTTTCAAAACAGCTCAAACGGGAGCACCTGCGGCTTTGTTTTTGAACTTGCCCACAGCTTTCTGAATGATTTCCTTGAATCCTGTGCGATAGTTTTCACTTTGAAGATAAAGAATCATAGGATTCATTGCTGAGTTGCAATGCAACAGAAATAAAGATATCTGATGAAACAAGCCCTTACTGGAAAAATAAAAAAAGAAATAAATTACTCTTGGAATAAAACAAACGATAAAGGCTAACGTTATGAGAAACAGCAATTTCACAACCTTTCGCTTTTGCTGTAGCTCTGCGCTGACGCAAACTTTGCGACTTCCGAAGTAAAATCCTTTGATTATTCGCCAATAACAGAAACATATCACTGCCACAGCTAACGCAACTCCGAAGCCGAAAACTGCAAAGTAGTTACGCCTGCCGTGAATTCCAAAGTTATATTTGCACGTTCTCTCCTGTTTGTCGAAAACAGTGAAAACGAATAGAGGAACAGTTAGAGCCAAAGCGTATAACAGGATTCCACTGACACAATATGTGATGTTATCCTTGTTAAAACGGAGCCTGTTTTTCATGGGTTTCAAAAGTGCAAGGTATCGCTCAATAGCTAACAAGACGAGGGTGGTGATGGAAACAGCAATGGTTAAGCTTGCCACATTTGGTCTAACGAAAATACAGCAAAATATGGCGCCAAGAAGGCCTCCTGGAGGTGGAAATACGAGAAACGAAGCAAATGGCACAAAACTGATCAACGAGATCAAATCAGCCACGGCCACAAAGGCCAGAAGTATGTTCGTTGTTGATCGCATACCGCGTTTCCTTGCTATTAGTGTTATGACCAGTGAATTCCCTACCACGCCGATGGCACTCAGCACCAAGTAGCTAAACAAAAGCGCAAGGTTTTTCCTCGTCGAAAATTCTGTTTCAAAAGAGTTGTGTGTGTTATTCACTGCAGACTCGTTTGAGAACATATTTGCTTCGTAAGGTTAACACCATTCATAGAAATAAGGGGTAAATCTTGACTTCAAATCCAGGAATGATTCATTCTGGTTCGATCCAATTAACAGAAAAGAATTATTATTTTTCAAGCGATCGCTGAAGAGAGATTAGAATTAAGCCTTTAACTCCCGAGAGTGACCAAAACAGAATTTCTCCTTACAAGAATAATACAATATGAATCAGGCAAGTGATGAGAATAAAGAAAAATATCAATTAAGGGACTAAACGTTGATCCAATACCAAATTCTCCAAAGCAAATTCATAAGTATTATAAGGTGGACAGTTAAGAGAATTTCTAAGGAGATCATAAGAGTGAAAGGGTTAAAAGGCAATTATTTAAACAAGTGTTTCAGAGCACAGTGAGTTTTTAATGTCATTGGCCAGTTGTTGGCGACATTTCATTTTATTATGTTTCGTTCTCTATTGCTATTATTATCTACATTAGCAAAGCTATGAAACCGGAACCACCTGCGCTCATTAGGATGACAACCAAATTTTTCAATTAATTTCCCGCCGTATGAGTACACACGGTTGATCTTTTAATCTGCTTTATTTTGTTACGTAAATTGTTGAAAGTTGACTGAAACTAGTGATTTTTCGAGACAGCATGATTGACAATCTATGCACTGAAGCGCATTCTTGGCTTTAGAAGCCACTTAAGGTATGATACCTTCAAAAAGGGAAATTTTTTACAATATTTGAAACATTTTTATTAGTCCCTCCTGTGATAACACTCACTGAGAGAAATTGTTTGGCACTGTTGTTGACACCATCTGTCACCATAGCAACAGGACCACGCCCACTTAACCCTCATTTCATAGACATCACACCAACAACAATAACTCTATAACAAAAAATCCCATGGCTCTGAAATTTTCAGGATATCTTATACATAGATGGATCTGTGCAATGACCCCAAAGTATTTTATACAATATGATTATAAACATGATCTTTGTCATGTACGGGGTAACAGAGAGTCCCTTGTCACGCAACGATCGTTTTCCGGGCGAAAATAACTATTGTGGGATTGTTTCTTAACTGTAAACAAGATAAAAACAAACCTGTTGCCCCTGGCAACCAAAGACCTGGGCCCAGTTGTTCAAAGGCCGATTAGCCCTAACCCAGGGTTAAATTTTAATTCAGGTTTCTTTATTCCTTTGTCCAAAAGTCTTTTACGGAAAATTTTCACTATTCTTTTTAGAACATCCAATGATCAAATTGCAGGCAAAAAGATTTGAACTGAATTTCCTGGCTTTGAAACAGGAAATCGAACAGATCAAGCACGAATTAGAGATGCCAGGACAAGTTGGCTTGAAAGCTTTCGATTCAGACCATTACCCAGCGGCTTGTGAGAATCCAGGTGTGTTCAAAATCAAATTTCATAGTATCCTTCATATTCCCAAACATGTTGAATGTTGTGTGCTTCTCCCACACCTTAGACAACGTGGGGAACCATAACCCTGGGTTACCTTAACCCAGCTTTGAACAACCCGGGCCTGGTCTCAAAAATGAGTAAATACTGGACAACAAATAACATTTTCATGAAAAATTAAACTGTGGCGTTAAAACCAAGTGAAATATGGACCTTTTCCAACAATAAAAATTTTTGCCTTTTTTATACCACCTTAAGATGAATGCTAAAAATTAATGACAAACTTTTAAACAGGTCCTTTTATCCAATTTGACCATTTTCTTACCGAGTAGATGTTCTTCGAGGCCGGATACGCGGTTGCTGCCCAGTAAACAGCGAACCTTAATAATTTTTGCAGCAATATGGACAGGTAGAAAATATCAATTGCGACAAGGAAATTTCCTAAAAGGATCTGCGACTCTCTCCTGTCCAAGCTTAGAGAGCTAAGCTCAAATAAAATCCAGTAAAGAATGACATTTAGGAGCCTGTGTTTATGCTTTTCAGCTTTGAAAGCTTGATCTATAGCTGGAGTGAAGTCAAAATCTTCTGCGATTATATGTGAACAGCTCTGCGATCGTGTGCAGTCGAGTACGATCGCAGGAATAGAACCATGTGCTATTCGTGCGATCGTCTGCGATCGAGTGCGATGAAATAATGAAATATCAAAAGAGCAACGGTAACGAATTTAGATCATCGCCAGAAAACAAGGACATTTCGAGCCCGCTGACAATTATCAGCGGGATATCGTATTACACTCGTATTACGGAACAATAGAATATCTAGAGAATTAAATATGGTGGCGATCACGGCTCGATCTGCAAAGAAGAATGTTTCGTACCATGACTTATACAATTTGAGCACCGCAGATCCTCTATTTGATTGAAAGAAAAAGAATGGAAGACCTGCAAGTAAATCTTTGGGAGTTTTCGAGGCAGAGCGATGACATGATGTCAGAATTTTGATTTGCTTTAATTTAATTTTCGCGCTAAGACTACTGAATTTGCATTCAATACCTGGCATATTTTTATTCCGAAAAGGACCTGAGAACTAATTTATTTCCCTGCAAGAACATAAACAAATATGGCCGACGATCTGAAGATCAGCGTTGCTCTTGTTTAACTATTTCAGTCATAGTTTTCAACATGGCGTCTCGTCACATGGAAAATAAGGGATATTCTGGCGCGTTGGGAAGTTTTTTGATGGGAGGAAATGGAAATTTTACACGATATTTGGACGCTTCGAACTCTGTAGCAGTCAATTCGATCGAGAGCAGTTGACTTTATTGATGCACTTTCCTGTAATAGGCGAGTGTTTGGGATGGAGAACGACAGGTTTTGAAGAACTGTATGGCGACCTAGGTCAATGATCAATGACAAAAGAACTGGCTCGGGAAGTAAGTGGTTTTTGTATATCGAGTCCCTGTGAGGTTTGATGAATAGCAGAATCAGTACTGAATATGTCTCGATCGAGAGCAGACGGGACCATGAGCTCCCTATAGTTATATTTTACAAATTTTACAAATTTCCATACATTTTCTTATATTATTTGGACGCCATTATGGACGAAATGCGCAAGTGCGGCTGTCATCTTGTCCAATATTTCTGTCGATGAACGAGTGTGTCGAATACAGTATTTCAAGGAATTCGGCTGATATTATTTGCCCCCATTCCAATTTTATTTATTTCATTTTTGAAGTGCAAATGATAAATTAATGGCAAGAAATAAGAGCCTGCTTCAATTTTTAGACTGATGGAAGCTTTTATGAAAAGGGAATCTAAAAGGAATTATATAATAAGCTCAGCTATGCACGCATTCTGATTGGTTCTCACTTATGATCTATCGGAGGACAGACGCATAGATGACGTCATCATTAAAACTTTTGCTCTCTATTATTCTAAAATGGCGGAAAGTTTTGAAAATTTAGACGATATTTTAGCTGACTGGGTGAACGAAGATTTCGAAAAAAGTCTTGTCGAGGCTGTGGACAGTTACGATAAACAGGAGAAAGAAAGAAAATCACGTTTCTCTGTCGAAAACAACTTGACAAAACTACTTGAGCAGTCGCAGTCGAACACAACTAAAAGAAACACAAAATGGGTAGTGAAATTATTTCAAGGTAAGAAGCCATTGCTTTGCTTCGAAATTAACGAACTCAGTAAGCAAAAATTTGTCTGAGATTGATTTATTTGGAAGAAAAAAAATTCTTTTCTCAATGTCAAAATAATTGTTTACACAAATTGGTGTCAGGAAAGAAACATCACAACACCACTTCTTAAAATGAACCGTAAGGAATTAGACCAAAACCTAGCAAGATTTTATGTGGAAGCCAGAACAAAAGAAGGCGAAGAGTACAGTCGTTCAGCTCTTCTCCGTTTTCGCAATTCCATTGAACGACACCTAAACAACAACGGTGTTAAAACTTTTTTAATTTTTATGAAAATATCAAAAAAAATGTGGTAAGAACCAAAACCAATTTCAAAACAGCAACAAAATTCTCGACGCCAAGCTCAGAATCAACCGCCGCGCTGGCAAAGAAAATATTCAACATAAGCCAGTTATTGTACCATCTGACCTTGCCAAAATTCGAGCCAGCCCGTTCCTCAGTCTAGAGCTCCACTCATGCAAACTTCGAACTGAATGGCCTCCAACGTTCGTTCTCGAGGGCCAGTTTGGCCCATCAAGGTTCGTTTTGGACTATTTGAGCCAAAACGGGCGGGACAGGTACCATTTCGACCCTTCCAAAATCTGAATTGGCCCCTATGAATTCTACTTTGGAACCTTTTTCTCAATTTGGCCCTTCCAAGAGCCAAGTAGGAATGACCAATTTGGCCCCAACGAGGTGCAATTTTTGAAAAAAAAAAGAAAATATAAAAGTAATTTTCTTTTTTCGACCATATTTCGTTCCCTATACTATTCATTATAAAGTGTTCAAATTTTCAACAGTTCCTCTCGTAACTGAACACCGAGTCACACAACGAATTAATCGTTGGCTTTTTCTCGAGACGTGAGCGTGAGCTGCCTGTGATGGCATTAGTCGAACCTAGACCACGTGCGTCGGACACAATAATGAATTATAGCAGCGAATTCGTCACTGAAGAGGCTGTTTCTTGGCTACAGTCGCATGGAATGAGACTTAAGAAAGGAAAGGTAGGCAAAAGAAATTTCTTAACAACGTATTTTACTGCAACTTTACATTCACAAACTTGACCGCTCCATTGATCTTTGTTCGTCTCTTATCTTGCAGAAAAAGACGGTTGCGATGGCCAAGATCTCCTTGCCATCGCCCAAGATGCAGACGTACCAAAGCACTACATCCCCATTATAAAAGAGCGTCTAAAGCTCAAGAAATTGATTGCAATGAATGCTGAACCTAGAGATGACACGAGTTCTTCGTCGGTACGATAATTAATTTTCCCACCAGAGAATTTGACGCATGAATGGTTCGCCTCTTCTCCCGAGTCTTGTTGAGTCTCAGCGGTTTCGCAACTAAAGTCACGTGATCAAATTTTGGCGCCGAGAGATAGAGACGGTTACAGTTCGAATACTGCATTTGCACAAGATAGATTTAACTTATTTCAGATTCTCTGATTTTAGGATCTCTCACTTTGAATTCTTAATCTTTTTCTTGAAAAGATGAACTGATATTTTTATGTCTATGTCTATGTTTGCATCCACTTAAGCTGATTTTTTGGCTCTCACTCTTTCAGCGTGCAGAATCAAGTCCTTCGAGTAAGACGGTTCAAACGTCGATTGATGATTCAGATAACATCAGCGATTATGAAAATTTGGAGGTGACATTGGCACCGAAAGAAAAGGGTAAATCGCCCAAGGATCTCTGTTTTACGGACGAAGGGACAGAACTGAGCACTGTCTAAGTAAGTTCTTGTATATTAAACTTAGCAGGATGGTGAAGAGTACATTATCGATTACTTTCTTTCGATTATATCCTAAAGGAAAACACACAAGGTGCCAGTTGGTCAGTTAAAGATGACAAATCTCGGGGATTGCACCTACAAAAATGACGAGATTTGCTTTATTTTTATTGAAATATATTAGATATGTATTTACTTGCACCATGCATAAAACAAAGTAAACCCAATTTTTAAATCTGGTAAATTAAAAAATTAGTGAATTGATAGGATGTTATCCGACAGTTTAATTTTTTTGAAAACAAATATTTACCTACAGGTTCCTCCTGAATGGCTTTCAAAATTCCAACTACCATCGAGGGTAAGAAACTTTTCTTTGTTTTGTTTTTTAAGTCTACAAGCAATCCTTATTTATTCATGAATACTGAACTAAAACTGAAGTGCATAGAGGTATGATTTCTTTTCTTGATAAGTACATATACAGTTTGGTGAAAATACATCATTGATGATCACCATTATTGTGTTTTTACTTCTTATGCACAGTTTGCTTACAAATATTTTGCAACTTTGTAGTTGCAAAAATTTACTGTTCTCCAACAACAAATTAATTTGCTCATTTGTTTGTTTTTTTGTACAGTTCCCTGCCTCAGTAGAGTTGGATACCCAGAAGGGATATCTCATCAGCAGCCTAAAGTACTCTGAGCAACAGTGGATTGCAAAGAAAAAATTATTGCAGAGTATCCTTGTACAGTTAGCAGGATACTAGACTAAGTTGACTTGGAAACTGAATGGATTGGTATGGTCTAAAAATCTATTGCTTCACCTCTTCTGCTTGCAGTGAAGAGAGACAATTTTGTGGTGCTGAATCTCTTGCCTTAAACTAAAAAGTTGCAAAATAATCACTCTCACCTTTTAAGTTCATGACCTTTGTTCTTGTGTGTTTGTCATCACATGCATTTAATGAAGTTGTGACCATTTTTGAGGTACAAGTCCAAAAAACTGCTACTTTGGTACTAAGATGAACAGCTAAAATTTCTGAGCCCATTTGCCAATGAAGTCCAGATACAAAGGTTCAAGTACTTTGGGGTTGTATTAATTTTGCCTTTTTGTTTAGTTTTTTTGATTTTGCAATTTTTTAAAATATTCCTGTTGTCAAACCATTAGATAAATATTGGACATAGAGTAGCTGATTTTTTTCAGATATTTTGGGAGTCATACATTAGTTTTTCAAGTCTTGAATGGGAGACAAATTACACACATTGAGCTAAACTTCCACTTCCATTTCTGGTGTTTTAGCTTATAGTTTTAGAAAAACAATATATATATATATGTAAATGTCTGATAGAGTCTACCTTGGCATAAAGTGCTCAATGCTGTGAGAATTGATGTATACATAAGTTAAAAAATTAAACTTAAGTGTGTATATATATTCTCTTTTTTTTTTGAATTTCAGGCACTTTTTGCACTTTGGCTTGATTTTAATGTGGTTGTAAAACTTTTTTTATTGCTGGACAAGCTGATGTTGATTCAGCAATCAAAGATTATCAGTCCAGCAGAAATTTTAATTGTTGGAGATCTTCAATACATCAATCACCTGAATATAGTAATATTCCTTTTTTTTTGTCACTTCTCACAAGCAAAGATTTTTGATGCACTCATTGGCTTGATTTTAATGGCTTGTTTAAATTTTCTTTTAATGCATCAAAGGCTGATGTTGATTTTTTAGAGCAATCATTGATTAAATGTCCACAGGCAGAAATTTTAATTGTTGGAGATCTTTCAATGACATCAAATGCCTGAATATAGTAACAGAGGATAGTTTATATTTTGTCAATATCTCAAGTAGCAAAAGATTCTCACATCCACTGGAAGAATACTCTTTGCTGCTCTAAGGCTCTTTGTTTTTCATATGCACAAATCAAACAAGATCTATATTCTTGTGCAGGAACTGGACCATTTGTTGCCTCTGTCTTATTTTGATAATTTTCTGTACTTTAAATCAGTCTTAATTATAAGCTGCTTTATATTACCACATTTGCTAAGTCATTGAAAGTGTCTCTTGGGTGTAATTTCTTGCAATGCTTGCACTGTTAAGAAGTATACTGATTTAGGGAAGAGATCTATTTTAGAAAATGGTTGAATTAATGTTAAATATGTATGTATGTTATATTCTTTCACATAATGTTTCAAAGTTTGTCTGTTTTATACCACAATTAAGATTCGTAATAACTGTAAAATCAGGTAGTGTAAAAGGTTTTTACATAAACAATATCTAGAACCTAATAAATGAGTGTTTGAAAGATAAAGTATGTGGTGTATTTTCATTATTTGAATGTAAGGGGGGAAATCAGCATGGAGAGGAAAGAGCCCTCTACCTCTGAAGTGGCCCACATTGGAGCTGAATTGGCTCTTTTTAAAGGGGCCATTTGTGAGAGGGCTGAAATTTCGGGAGTTGTTTTGGCCCCTATAAATTTCAAAGTGGCCCCTGTATTTTTCAAATTCACCCTTCACATGGTCCAATTTGACCCCTACAACGGGGTCAATTCAGCCCCAAAATTGGTGCAAAAAACAGCCCCTGGCCCCATTTTTGGGGCCAAATCAACTCTGAATTTTACAGTGTATCATAGATTACATCAGAGGTTTCACATTTGCAGTTTCAGTTTCATCTTTTAGTTTGACTTTAATTTAGTCGGATAAATTAACGGGAATTTCCGTTCTGTATTAGCGATCTATCATTTTCCGTGCTGTTAAAAATCAAATGTTAATAAAATAGAGATTGCTAGAATCCAAGTTTCAGAATAATAAAAATTGGATTGCCTATACATTTTAAAAGTGAGAAAATTGTTAAAACAGACCTTTTTTGGACATTTCTTTTGCATGTGAGCTAGTTTCGTCATTCATATAAACTGACAATCTTGAAACAAAGGAAGACCGGTTAATTAAATTGTTCACGAGTGCCTGACGGAGACAGAGTCCCCCTAAACTCAGCCTTTCAAAGTGCTGGAATGAATGTTCGAACATTGTGCTCCGAAGAATAAAGCTACCATATACATGCCAAATTTATTTCAAACGGCGACCATGAAGCACTTTACTTAATATGCTCCCTGAGCATTATACAAATGATAACTATCATAATTGAATGCAAAATAAAGCACCGCCGACAAATTAAGCTGCCAAAAGAAAATTAATGAGACTAATGGTGTATTTTTTTTAATGCCAGTGGTAAAAGAAATATTTAAAGAGTACTCAAGTTGTTGTCGTGAGTTAAGTAAACAAAATATAGTTTTGCGGAAACACGAAAAGTCAAAGTTGAAAATCCAAGCCTGATTTGAGCAATATTCCGGTATAGCATGAGTTGAAGAAGTGTGTAATGACCAGCCAATAGTAAGTAGAATCAAAAGCAGCACTGTTTTAGGTTATAAAAAGTAAATTAAGCAGATGTTTTGTGACATGAATTAAGTAACATTCTATCCTAAATTTACAAGATCTTATTTTGTCGTAAGGTTCGCCTAACGCCGCTGAAGTTTCTTGGTAATCTTTAAGTAACAGGCTCTTTGATTTCTTGGGTGCATATTGTTTTGATCTCACTTTTTTTCTCGCTTCCGAAAAGTTCTTGCGCTATGTTTGTTGGTGGTGAATACAGTATTACGAAAGGGGTTTACGGTTAGCACACCATCGTCTCTTTTCCATGCAAATACCTCCAGAGAAGCTGTTTCCAATTGAACCTTTTCTACCGTGCTACTCTTGGAATTCGCAAACAGTGACTTATAGGCTGACCCTCGGTACATCATGCATGTACAACAGGTGTTACTAGTCATTTTGATCAAATTATTATTTCAATACAGACGCTAATCACTGCGTTCACTTCATTGTCGAAGCATGTGGGTGAACGAATGAGATACAGCATATTACTAAAGTCTTGCAGAGCATATTTACGATTCTTCTGAAACACTTAAGCTGCTCCTACAAAGTAGCGTGATATGTTCTCCACAAAAGATGCGAAAAATTAGGAAAGAATGGGACATACCTTAAAAGAAAAGGCAGCTTTGTAAGAGCAAGCTGCTCTGTAATTGATTTATTATTCAAATTGGCAACTGCTGCTCTTTTACAAAGAACCAAATCGTCGGCCAAGCTTATAAAAACATAATATTTAATGTACGAGGGTTGTCAAAATATCTTGAATCATTATCTCCAAATGAATGAGGCAATAAAATAACTAAATAAAGGGGGGTAAGTTTCTGATAAAACTGTGGAGCTGCGTCGGTCGGGGTAATAGAAGATGATTTGGTTTCATCTGATTGTTGAGGGAAATTATTCACTCATTGTTATTATGTTTAAAACACTTTGGTAATTCCATTCCTAAAAGATGAGTTGTTCGGTTTTGTTCTCCCAACTACAGAAAGTATTCAGGTAGCCTTAGAAAATATTTTATCGGTTCGATTGAGCTTCATTGTTTATGGTTCGATGGTTTGGTAATCAAAACCAAAGAAAAGGAGCCGTTTCATTTTGCTGTATTTCTGAATTTACTCGAATTCATGGATAGTGTTAGATTGCTCTCGATTGAGTAGGATTGTCTATAGTTCAGTTGCCTTCACCAATTGTATGAGATACCTTAGAATTCTATTTTTTTAATTATTTTCAGAACCTAGATCAAGTTTCGTAGTTATTATTTATAAGGTGGTGATAAATTTGTTTGTGTCTTGTTTTGATAAAACATGTCTGCTATCGAACACTGCTATCAGAAAATATTCAACCTCAAGTTTTCTTCTTCTTACTTTTGCGGTCAAATTCGTTTGGGAGTCAGAAAAAATTGCTTACCATTTTACGCAATAAGGAATTCTAAAGGCGAATTTATTGCAGTAACAAGTACTTTAGGAATTAGGACTAACATCAGTGTGGTCACTTAATAGTCGCTGTTTTCTTGCGCAGAGCAATGACCACTTACTGTAAAGAGAACTTTCTGTGATCATAAGCAGCAGACATCCCCTGTTAAATTTGGGATTCTTACCTAGTTTCGTTTCACTTCGTTTTCTCATATAATTTCAAACGCACATCATCACCACTGGATACCCCCTCGTTAAAATCGAGGACTAATTTTTATTAACCAACTGCACGAAGAAGTCTATAAGCTCGATCGTTAAAAAAGACACAACTCGTTAAAATCCTCAGCGGTACGCACCAAAACGTTCATTGAGATATATTCGGTCTGCTCTGTCGTCAATATTCTTTTGTTATCGTTTCGTAGGTTTTTCTTATCCAGCTCTTTTCTTTTCAGTTTCAGGTATAAGAACTCGCGTTATCTAGTTTAGCTAAGAATTGCCGAGGTATCACTTTCAGCGCAATTGACGACAAACTACAATGGTGGGGGCTAAATTTTGTTTCGTTTTCTGTCTGTTAACAATATTCTTTTGTTAAATTCGTGGGTTTTTTCCCTTTGTTTTCACTTTCAAAATCAACGACATTGAGTCCAGTGCTGAGCTATTTTCACTTTAGTTAAAGCATTTTACGACGAGCTATAATGGAGGAGGCTAAATTTTGTTACTTTATCAAGGTAAGTTAGTGCAATTAGCTTCTATTTGTTTCTGTATTCTGCAAATTCAATTCAAGATGTAGTCAGTCCAAGTACTTTTCTCATCTTTAGCTTGAATTATCAAACGGATAGAACTAGAATTTAAATACTACTTGAGTATAATGACGATTTAAAATCCTCTCGCGTTCACTTTAAATGCCAACTCTGTTCGAGGGGCCAAACAATTTATCTCAAGAATTATTGATAAAATAAAAGTACCCGTTGAATTTTTGACACTTATAACTTAGAAGTACAGCTTTAATTAGATCTCAGTTTTTTGCAAAATAAGGGCTCTTTCAATCTCTACTGAACAGCTTACATGGAAAGCAATATTTCGGTAAATCGTAGAGCATTCAAAAATTGAGAAATTACTACCATTAAAGTAATTTTGAAATTTGGGCTGCAGATCTTTCAAATAATTGCTTTATCTTCATCCGTGAATGAATCACAAATATAGAGATGTCGATTATGTACAAATTCACCCATGAAAGGAAATATTCAATTTAAGAAATTCACTTAACGGATATTTGTTCCTCATTGCAGTGATGACTTGTCGTTTGGCTCTGACTAAACCAAAAAAAAGCTATAAGAGCAGAATGGGTGCTCGGGGATTTTGAAAATTGTAGAATGTGCTGTGGTAGCAAATGCGTGAAAATGAAAGTGCAGTTTCATTAACCTTGGGTTAATTTGCACTTGCTGAGCTTAGCTTAAGAAGAAAACAGCGATATCGCAGATGTAAATGTTTTATGTATGAGTAGGTAACAGTAAATGCGCTGATTTTTTCCACGATTAAAGCAGAACTTTTAAGCTCATTTTTTTTCTTTTTCTTTTGCCTTTGACAGATGATTTTTTTCTTGCCGGGCATTTTGGGTTCTCCGATGCCCAGGTGTCGCCCAACCGACTTCACAGAATTTACAGTGACCATGGAGTCGATGGCACGTCAACATAAAGCCAAAAGATTCTTGTTAATCACTGAAAACCTCAGCGGTGAATTCAGTCTGTCCTTCACGGGGAGTAGAGGAGCAACAGGGACAAGTGAGATGACTGATATTTACAGTATATTGATCATGCACAAAGGAGTTATGTCATGGTTTGAGAATCTTAAAAATTTCATCCAAAATTAAAATCCCCGTCTTTAAATGTCATATTGTATCGGCCTTGTTCTTTCTTTCTTTCTCTTTGCCTTTTAATGTTCGACTACTCAAACAAACTTAAGTTTTCTAAATCCCCCCACGTCAAGGGAAATTTTTACTAGTCACAGAAAATCCGATTAAAATATCTTGGCGTGTCTTTAAAAGACTACATGCAACTTCCGCAGTCAGCTACGCAGGCTTTGTGCATGCAGGTAAACTCTCAGACGTCTCAACTGTGCATCAGTCCAGCGATTTCTAATGTAGATAGGCAGGTTACAGTTCGTTTTATCGAAAGAGGGTGTCATGGGTTGCCAGAATGCATATGTGGAAACGGAAATAAGATTTTACAGCGATGAGAATAAACCAAAAATCTGGACGATTATACATGGGAAAAACTTCTTTACAAGAAATACATGCTCTTAGATTCTTTTCCGGAGCATGAAGTTGTAATACAGCTTAACCCTTTCTCTCCCAAGATCACTTTTATAATTCTCCTTACTGTCCGCCTTATATCTGTCATGATGCTAGTTTGGAGAATTTGGTACTGGATCAACTATTAGTTCCCTAATTGATATTTTTCTTTATTCTCATCACTTGTCGGCTTGATTTTTCATTGATATTGTAAGGAAAAATTGTCTCGGTCAGGCATGGGAGTTAAAGGATTAAGATACCAAGATACTACTAAAATAGATAATAGAATCAATTCAAAGCTGAGTTATCAGCAATGCAGTGGCCGACAGGAAAAAAGTTTTCAAGAATACTACTTGTTTTTTGTTCACAGAGTTTGTCTTGAGGAGAGAATGTTCAGGTCAAAACCTAGTGTATTCCTTCAAGCCCTACAAAAAGCCAGACTTTATCATAGCTGTGGAGGATGAAAAGTTGGTGGTGAAAGTAAGTCCCTGTTGTCATTGAGAACGATGCGTGGAAAAGGCCTTGGTCCAAGCGTGACCTTAGTCATGAAATGTAATTGTAAATGCCAGCCAGATGCCCGAGTGAAATCATCTTCGTGAAAATTCTGGCCTGAAGATGTAACAGACTCTTTGTACAATTCGCTTCTTTTCATTTTTCCAACAAGAAAAGGGCTTCCCAGCAACATCTTCAATAGATCTAAGTATGGCAAAATTCTTTCTCACATAGAATACGCTGGAGCAATGCTGTATCTTAATTTTTTTTCTCAAATCTTGCATTCATCCACTAATGACGATCTGTGAATCCTACTTAGATATAAGTTGTCACGCCCCGATGGCTTGGCTGTTGATTCTTAGTTTTCTATTACGATCTATTATGATATTCACAACTACATCACTTTAGACCCAGAGGGCGCCCCTTACTAAAAACAAAAATGCAAAATTGCGTTTTGAGGAGCATGTTCTCAAACCTTGCACTTCATATTTGCAGAGTGCATCGACTGTGACAGACAACAAATTGAAGTTCCAAAAGAGAAATATCGCCATGACATACTTTGACAGTGACCGAAACTCGGCTGTCAGCATGGAATATTCCGCACTGATGTCTTTATCCACACCTCGAGCGGTAATTAAAAGTAATAGGTCTGGAAAAGTGTTCCTAGACAAGAAAAAGAACTGGAAAGATTGTCGCGCATGGGTAAAAATAAACGATAATGTTTAATGTAATGGTGCCTTCACTAAGCCATGTTCACGTGTGAAAATTATTGTAGCGGATCTGTTTAAAGTAGTGGGATGTTGAAGGCCTAAATGTAATAACCGTCCTAAATGTCATAAAGACCTAAATGTAATAAGATTTGGTTAGATGTAATAAAGTCCTAAATGTAATAAGCCTCCAATGCAATCGTTTAACTCCTGATAGCACACATCCACATTGAGATGTTAAAGTGACAAAAATCCTCTGACCAGTATTCATGTCACATTGCGGGTTTGCTGATATCAATCAGCGTCTTCTTATTTGTTGGACTTAAGTAAAGAAGCATTGGCTGCAAACCGTTACACTGATGAACAATTAGCAGCAAATGACGGCTGGCAAAACAATGAGTAGGCTGACCAATACCTCTCCATATATCACAGGCTCAAATTAACTCTTAAGTACAATTCTCGGTTTGCGGCTGACGTCATACTTTTTTTGCAAGTAAAGCGTCCGCCATGTTGGTGCCCATCTCAGATGTGAAATTTCATGCAGATATATTACCATCTCTACAGTGCCCTCTGTCAAATCGTTTTATGGATATTCCTGATGAAAAAAATCCAGAATCACAAGAGAATATTCTCCTTAGGATATCTGTGCTTTCGAACTATGTGGAGGGCCTAGAAGGCCACGTTCGAGAGCGATATTTTTAAGGAAAATTTATGTGGTCGGTGTCGACCCAGTAGCCATTCCAAGTGAGCAGTTCAACTCAGAACTGACTCACTGACTTTCTCTGACGTATAGGTCAGTGGACTTCCTTTTCCTTGTTATTGGGTTCATTGATCACTCAAGTATATTGTCACTTGAAATCTGTTGCATTTAAGAGTCTAAGCCAGTGATATAAAGAGAGGTATTAAGCCGCGTTCCCGTTGTTTTGACGTTTGTCAATTTAATGCCAAAAGCACATCAGTATAAGAGTTCGTAGGAAATGCTTCTCGACCTACGTCTCTTGCAAGTAAAAAGACGCTGATTGGCTTGACCACAACTATCTTCAGGCCAACGGAGACAAGACACAAGCAATGGTCCTTGGCAAAAGTACCCACCACTATGACTTAAAGTTTAACGGCACTTCTATCGACATTAAAGAGCACCTAAAGATCCTCGGAGTTCACCTTGACAATAAGTTATCTTTTCAAGAACACATAAATGAGATGTTAAAGAAAGTATTTGCTAAGATAGCCGCACTCCGCCGCCTTAAACGCCTAGTGCCTTCCAGTACACTGCTAGTTCTATATAGGAATTTTGTTTTATCGCATTTTGAGTATTGTAATTCCCTACTAATCGGCATCGGCAAAACTCTTAATAAGAAGTTAGGAGATGCAAACCACTACGGTCTCCGAACAATAATGAACTTGGGGAGAAGCATTAACTACGAATCAACTCTTAAAACAGCAGATATGAACACACTGGAACACAGACGCATAGAACAGTCGCTAATAATATTTTATAAATGCTACAAAGAGAACGGCCCAAGCTACCTAGCCGACCTCTTCGAACCCCGAATTACTCCCTACAACCCTGTTGGCCTGGCCTCAACGTAACTCAAAATTCCTACAACAGCAAATTCCGTCACAATTCGTACTCATTTGTCATCTCTCGCATCTGGAACAAACTACCACCTTCTGTTAAAATCGCCCCTAACTTATCGTCTTTTAGAAGAAAACTGAAAACTCTTATTTTTACTGGCTGCCAATGCAAAAGCTGTCTATAATCTTTTGACACTTCTGCGTATACGTAGCTTCTGCTTAAATATACATTTGTAAATAGTTTAACGTGATAACTAATAATTTAGATTTAAGAATCTCAGACTTTGTAAATGTATTTTATAGTCAGTCACTTTTATCATGAGCCTCCGGCTCGGGAGATTGGGCAACCACTCCCCGTGTACCTGACGGTAAATAAATTATACTTATACTTATTAATATCAGCGAGCCCACAATATCCGTGAATATTGGTCAGAGGATTCTTTGGTGCAACGGTTGTCACTTAAACATCTAAATGTGAATGTCCACTATAACATAAACGCACGGGCGGAATTAAACGATTGCACTGAAGACTTCTTACATTTAGGACCAAATATTATTAAATTTAGGACAGTTATAACATTTAGGCTTTCAACAGCGAGACACTCATCGAACTAAAAATGAAATATGCATTACATCATTCTCAAGTTCGGGGTTTAAGGACTCTTGTTAATCTTGTTTAATCGGAGCTTGTTTACTTTCTAATTCATTGAAGTGTGCCGTTGATTGTGACAAGGCTACCGCTAACCTGGAATTAAGCGTAAAAGGGTAACCCTTTACCCTAGAGTATTGCCTTGTCTCGAAAATAAAAAGTATCACTACGGCTAATATTTCGAGTGATTTGCTTTAGGCGTGGGGAAGAACTTAGCATATCATCGCTCAAAACGCGACTAAATATCTGTGTGACAGCCCTTTGATAGTTCTAAGCTATACCGTGCTTTCAATGCACTAGTAAATAAAAAATCATAAACAACATTTGATTTCACTTAGACTCACTTGGTTCGGAAACGTTTCGAAGAATAAAACTGCATCCGAACGAATCCCGTTTTTCCTCCCGTAATACTAGAATTTGTCTTTTATCAAGGCCGTATAAAATTAAGCAAATATAAGTTTGTCCGTTGACAATTTTTTGCGTCCATGCTGGAAACGGATAAATGACTTTTCTTCACAGTCAAAACACAATAATTGCCGCAGGCAGCGACGCCCGACTGGATTTCTAAGCATGCGCAGAGGAAGGGTTTCATCATCTCGCTCAAAAGGGAATTCAAAATAAGATGTCAACGTTTTCGAAAGGTTCGTTTTCAGTGAAAAATTTATCCGGATTAGGGTGGACGGTCAGCCTAACTTTTGTCAAAGGTCTCCCCGAAACTTGTCGAAATAGCGTGCCAAGCTTGGGTAATGACTGACTTGGCTTGGCGGAGCGGATTAACGGCATAATTCTTGTAACAAAAAGCCAGTCTGACCTCTGGTGAGCGTCCATGGTATGTTTTTTTAAATAATGGTAATCATATTTGCATACGGGAACGAATATGCCTCTCAAATTTGCTTCACTCGAACATATGACTTCGTCGCTTAGTTGGTGATAGGGAACTTTAGAAAAGCACGACGGCGACCGGCGACGGCAAGAGGATGTGGCAAAACAAAAGATCTAATTAGCAGAGCAATAGCTCAGCACGTGCGTTTCAAAACTGTGTAGATTTCGTAACCGTCCTCTGCAAAATATCAACGTGAAATCTTCAAAATTTGCGTGGTCCAAGAAAGGAAACCCCGACGGTAAATTATTTAGGTTTCTATTTGAAACTCAACTCCGCTCTTATACGTTATGCTAAGGTTATCTCGCGGCGTCGTAAGAGATAGTGAACACATCCAGTCGTTCGTAAAATTCCAACTATAAATATATATTTTCATTTTTAAATTGATGTCTTCCTTTGCGTTGCCGTCCTAACTGCTAAAGGTCCCTAATAACGCCTAGACGCAGGTTCAAATCTTGGCGACGCCTGAATGCTTACAAGCCCCTTTTCTGAAATGTTTTTAAATACTACCGCAGCTTATCCCGAGTATTACTTTCGCAACTACGAAAATACTGGATTAGATAATTGTAACTGACGTCATGCAGGGTTACCTCTGAGAGCGGGAAATGTATTTTTAGGCACGGGAAACGTGTTAAATCACGCGATATATTGCAATGTAAATAAAAACACCAATTGACTGCCAATTAACTACGGCCCGCAGCGGAAAATTGTGTTCAAAAACCAAATAAGGAAAGGGGCAGTAATAAAACCGGAAAAGGTAAGGTTAAAGCTGAAAAATAATATAAAATTGAAATGCTTTATCTTGATGATTTAGGTACACTTTGAATTTGGAGGACGAAGGTACCGGAAGGAATCAGTTTAGAATAAATCCCGGCTCCCTTCGCTGGTCTGCTCTCGAATTAATTATATTTTTTTCAGGGGGAGGTGTCTTTTTTTTCCTTTCACTGTTAATGATTATTATATAACATTCTCGCTTCGAAATGTGACACGCTTTTTCATCCTTTTTGATCAAAAAACATGATACATCACGTTGTCACTAAGCTTGCTCTTTGCCTTCGATTTCTGGGTTACATATAGTTGATTCTCCGTGTTTTCGGTTCGTTATCACCGATGGGAAAATTATACTCAGCGTAAGAGATATCATTTTTATTTTTTTGGTAAGATAGTTCGTCACCAAAATAAATGAAAATGGTGTGGATTTGCTAGGGATGGGAACAAATTAGCAAGGATTATATATTGCAACGATAAAAAGCGCCCTAGACTTATGTTTTGAGATGCACAAATCACGATGTAGCCCTTTTTTTATCTGGGTGAAGAACAATACGTACTGACGTCCTTCATGCTTCAACGGTTCGAAACCGGATAGGAAACTAATTGATTTATTCCTTTCTTGAACACTCAAAAGGCGTTGAGTTAATACGATTTACATCATCATGATTTGTTTATACACGGAAGAGTACTTTGTCTTAGTTATTGATTGAGTAATTCTACTCTGAGTTATATTTTTGAGAGAGAGAATCGATGCCTCTGTAATTGGACAAAGGTATAGTAGTTGTATTACACGCTCACACACCGACAGAAAGCCCCCCCCCCAAAAAAAAAAGTCAAACCTTTAATTCCCGTGACGAAATGATCAAAATTTTATAATTATTATAGAGATAGAAAATAAAACTTTATAACTTCCCAGAAAGTGACTTACGTGGTGGACGTAAGATATAAGGTTGTTCGATGAATTTTAAAATCACTCCTTGATAAAATATCTGCATCCTTTTTCGTATATACATTCATTAGGTAATTCCAGTTATAATAGAAAATGCAAACCGAAACCGCACAACCGGCAAAATTTTATTCAGAAACTGAATTGTGACCTGCAAGCTACGATATTTTATATTCAAATTCTTCAGATGAAAGAAGT